ATAAAAAAAAAACGAAATAGATTTAGTAAGTAATAATATTAATTTATAATTAGTTATTTTGATAATATCGATATATAAATTTTGATAAATTTCGAATTGGAATATTATAAATATCAAGAAGATTTTTACGAAATTCTCAAAGATACTTAGAAGTACTGATTTTAATTGAATTTATTAAAGCAATACAAAAGAGAACAATTCAACCTATTAAAATCCCTGAATTCCCCTTTACAAAGGGATGTGGGGCTAATTAATGTCTTATACGACTTACGCTGTCAACCTCCGTAATAGGTCAATTTGTTCCCCACAATCGGTTAGATAGACGAGATCAATGCCAGGTCAGGGGCTCCCAGCGTCTTTGAAGTACTTTAATTTTATTCCACACTACCTAATTCATATCCGGTTCTCCACTATTCTTCGCATAAGCGCTCCGGATATATTAGATGTTCACCCAGTATGGAAAAATACCATGCCCCTTGGGTCATTTATCCGAAACAGGCAAATTTCGTTTTGCCATGTTTCTTCAAAGCGATCCGTAGAATGAGTTTATTTGAAGGGGCGTTTATGTGCTCAAAACTTCCAGGGCAAGCGAATATATATAACCGCTCCGTTACCCCCCAATTCCTTTTCTCATCACCATTCCCGAGTCAGGTAACTCGAAAATTACACTCTTTGTTATTCCTTTCGTATCATACCTTTCCATTCAAAATGCACATTTCAAATCTTATACCTCTTGCTGTCTTGCCTTTAGCTTATGGTCAGCTTAACACGCTTGCCAAGGCTGCTGGTCTCAAATACTTCGGTTCCGCTACAGACAATGGCGAACTTACTGACGCTCAATATACCGCTATCTTGTCAAATAACAGTCAGTTCGGACAAATCACACCTGGAAACACACAAAAATGGCAATACACAGAACCCACCCAGAACACATTCAGCTATACTAAGGGAGATGTTGTCGTTGATTTCGCGGAGAAGAATGATCAACTTCTGAGATGTCATAACTTGTGTTGGTATAACCAATTGCCATCATGGGTTACTTCAGGCAAATGGACAAATGAGACTTTGATTGCGGTCTTGAAGAATCAGTTAGTGGTTCCGCGCAGCTCTCTATGGACATTGAAAGCTAATCATAGCGCAGCATTAAAAATGAAGTAACTTACTACAAGGGCAAATGCTACGCCTGGGATGTCGTCAATGAGGCATTCAACGATGATGGTACCTGGCGATCATTTATCGTAAGTTTTCATCATAATTCTTGTAGCTTTCGAATAAACCCCAAGTATAGAAACTAACTCATCCAAGTTTTATGACACCATTGGTCCCGAATACATCCCCATCGCATTCGAAACCGCCGCTCTCTATGATCCAGATGTCAAGCTCTACTACAACGACTACAACATCGAGTCCTCCGGTGCCAAGGCAACCTCAGCCCTCAACCTCGTCAAATCTCTCAAAGCCCGCGGTATCAAAATCGACGGTGTCGGTTTCCAAGCCCACTTCATCGTCGGCTCTACCCCCAGCGAATCCGCGCTCGCCACCACCCTCAAATCCTTCACCGCTCTCGACGTCGAAGTCGCCTACACCGAACTCGATGTCCGCTTTAGCACTCTCCCTCCCACCACCGCCGGGCTCGCCCAACAAGGCGTCGACTACGCTAACACCGTCAAAGCCTGTCTCAGCGTCGACGGCTGCGTCGGTATCACCATCTGGGATATCACAGATGCCTACTCGTGGATCCCATCGACCTTCTCCGGCCAAGGCGACGCTTGTCTCTGGTACGCTAACTATACCGTCCATCCCGCCTACAACAATGTCGTTGCTGCTCTCTCCGCCGCAGCAGGCACAGCTGCCCCCGTTATTTCCACGACTGTTTCCACAGCGAAAGTAAGTATCTCCAATGCAGTTTCTACTAGTAAATCTGCGCCGGTCGTGTTGAGCGCTAGTCCTGATTCCGTTTCCGTTCCCGCTTCTGCGGTTGTTCCTTCCATCTCTTCAGTTGTACAAATTGCCAGTTCTTCTGTGGCTGTTTCTTCCGCTGTTTCATCTGCTGTTTCCTCACTTCCTATTTCCTCATCCCCCATCCCCTCAAGCAGCACACTAAAAAAATGCTCAAAGACCTCTTCCACCTCCGCTCCCTCCTCCACCATCATCTCCAGCACAAAAACCACCTCCACAGCCGCAGTTTCGGGAACAGGCGCCGCGGTCGCGCTTTACGGACAGTGTGGCGGCGCGACCTGGACGGGAAGTACCGCTTGTGCGTCGGGCGCAAAGTGCACGAAGCAAAATGATTGGTATTCGCAGTGTGTTGCGGCATAGGGGTGTAAGAATGTAAGAATGTATGGATGGATGGATATGTGTATAACTGTGGGAAGTAGAGATTGAATCATGGATATGTGGAAGAACCGAAAGAAAGGGGAAGTGTATATAAAAAGGAGGAGGATGTATGTTCTGTGTATATAGCTTTTAATTTGTGAGATGTATTTAGGAAGATATTGAGAAGGGTGGGAAATACGATGGCTGTTTTATCCTTCGATTCCTGGTTTGCATTGTGGCTTCTAAAATCCTGTAACCTTCGCGCTTGGGGAATGTAACTTCATTGATGGATATAATTTTTCCATATGTGAAGCTTGAAATCTATTTGGTGGTTTCTTTCGGAATAAATGAAAAGACTTCACTTCGCGTATCCATGGATATAATACACGCTTGGATTTCGTTCAGTTCAGATCAATAACAGACCTTGCTGAAAGTGACGTCCAAAAAACAAATCCCGGCCCAACAATTCACCTGAAAGTAGAGTGGGCACATTTATTCAAAGCCATACGGGTATTTTCACATATAATACACAACAAAAATCCCAAGCTACGTAACTCATTTCTCAATAGCCAAAGGAGGAAATAGGCCATCCCACGCACCCTTGCCCAACGGAGCCTGCGCATCACCATACGAAGGATCGGCGCCCAGTAACGCATATTCATATGTTCGACGCTCTGGTAGCACTCCAATCATATCAAGCAATAGCGATGCTTTTTCCGGCATGTACGGCTGGAGGAGAATGCCAACGATGCGGATTGCCTCTGCGGAATGATATACGGCGCTGATGAGTCTTTCTTTCGCTTCTGGATCTTCGGATTTGGCGAGACTCCAGGGTGCTTCGTGTTGGATGAATTTATTGGTCTATTGGTTATGGTTAGTATTGCGGTTTATAGAAATATGTAGATGGTGTGCTTACTTCGTAGACGGTATCCATGATAACATGCAAAGCTGCTCCTGCATTTAGCTCCTGCATTTTTTCATTGGCCTTATCACGGACACTGTTCAGGAAATCAATCTGTCGACTAGTTGTAATATTCGGATTGCTCGAGCCTTTAGAGTGTGTGGCTTCCACGCAAGAACGAACATTCCACACTTTCGGTCTGGTTAATCGACTAACAAGATTACCTAGGCCTTGTTGCAGTCCTTTCTTGTATCTTTCAACAATATATTCATTGCCATAGTCGGAGTCTTCCTTGATTCCACCATCGTGAATAAGGTAGTATCGCATCACATCGACCCCAAATCGATCCATTGCAAAAAGTGGGTTGACAACATTTCCTATTGACTTAGACATCTTTTGATTGTCCATTGTCCAGTGGGCATGGGTCAATATTTGCTTTGGCGGTGGTAGATTCAAAGCGAGAAGAAATGCTGGCCAATATATGCAATGAAATCGAACAATATCCTTTCCAATGACTTGTACATCTGCAGGCCATCCTCCTGCCGTTTCCTTCCCTGGCGCCCATGGATAGCCTGCTTTTGTAATATAGTTGACCAGCGCATCAAGCCATACGTATATAGTTTGAGTCTCATCGTCTGGAACTCGAATGCCCCAGCTTAACCGATCATAGGGGCGTGATATTGAAAGGTCTTCTAAACCCTTAGATACTTGGTTGACAACATCCTTCATTCGAGTCATTGGGACAATAAAATCGGGATTCTTTTCATAAAACTCAAGCAGTTGGTCCTTGAAAGCAGACAATCGAAAATGGTAATTCTTCTCCGATGTCCATTCAACCTCTTTACCAGTCTCTTGAGAAGCAATAAAAGTCCTCCCAGTAAAGGGATCCAGCCTCTTCTCAATAGCCGATTCCGGATAGAAGGTTTCATCACTGACGCAGTACCACCCTTCGTGTTTTGACTCGTATATATATTCCCGTTCCCTCAGCATATACCAGATATATTCAACTGTCTCTTTGTGATCGGGATCAGTCGTGCGCACAAAGTGATCATTTGAAAGTCCTGCTCGCTGTGCCAATTCCTTAAACGTCTCAGCGCCAATATCACAAAATTCTTTGGGCAACGCTCCTGCTTGCGCAGCAGCTCGTTGGATTTTCATGCCATGTTCGTCTGTTCCTGTACATAGGATTGCCGTATCGCCCTTTAAAACCTGCCATCGTTTGAAGACGTCCGCGAGGACCATAGTATATAAGTGACCAACATGAGGTGCTGAAGATGAACCAATTAGCTCAGAATGCTGCGCTGGCGCAAAGTCATTCAGACTTACCAGCATTCACGTAGAAAATTGGTGTGGTCACATAATATGGCTTTTTCGATTTTGTATCGACAGAATAGCTGGCTTTCGGTATGGGTCTTGTCCTACATGAGCTACAAACCCAGCCAGCCCTCAATATTGATCTGGTCCTGGACTGCAGAGAGCCGCGCAGTAGAGGATTGAGGCCATACATTTGAACAAAATGCGCTGACTTGGACTCGATTTAGCATGGTCCAAGACAAATAGTAAGATTGCGGGAAAGCGGCGCTGCGGCCGCCTTTCCGCCCCCGCATTTTCTCAAAACTATAAATTCAAATTTCACTTCGTGCGTCATTCTTTACTGAGAAAGACAAAGACGCTCTAGAGAATTGTCGAATTGTGATCTAGATAAACTTCTCTAGTTTAATATACTGTGATCTATCCTATTTTCTTGGATATCCATAATTACATACTATCTGTGCGATTTATCATGTCTAATCCTACAAAGGATATCCAAGCCGAATTGGCTACCAAAGGTAATCATTTAATCATTCTTTGATGAAACATTATGCTAATATACTCCAGCCGCCGACATCTTTGTTGAAAGTTTCTACGAAGCTCTAAATAAGCCCAATCTTCGCTCAACAATCACATCCTTCTACATCAAGCCTTCCGCTCTGGCACCGGCCGAAGCATCCATAACCATTAATGGAAACATCGTACCAACACCCTCCGCCTTCCAAGAGACGTTCGAGAACAAAATAGGCAAAACTTCATATGAAGCGCAAGCATATGATGCTCATGTCATAAACCCAAACTACAATATAGGCGTTGAGGAAAGTAAGCTTGGGCCGGATAAGGATGGGAGGAAAATTAGTATTGCCATTATGGTTAGCGGATCAGTGAAATATACGTCGAAGAATGGAGACGAGGGAGAAGAGCGAAGTTTTATGGAGAATTTCATCTTGGTGCCCAATGTGGAGGCTAGAAATCCAAAGGCGCCGAAGGGGATCAAAAAATGGTTGATTCAGAGTCAGATATTTAGATTGGTGCTTTGAGGTTTCGAAATCTAGAGAGTATGAATTAAATATGGGAAGGGAAGATTGGTTGGAGAACCCTATTATGAACGGAAGGTTAGAGGGCACTCTTTACGGGGAGCAGCATTGCTCGGCGAATCGAAGTAATGCCACCCTACGGAGCACTCATGGCCGGTCGAACCATGGCCGATTCATTTGGGGGCACCCTTCAAACACCTGAAATTTGACATCAAGTCTGGTCAGATGGCGAGACTAGAATAGTGCCAAAGATTCGGTGATGGACAGATTTATGTCCTCAGACAAGATTATGGGTCGACCTCTTGGTAAAGACGCAGGTAGCATCCTTGAGAAGAGTTGCAAATCTGCAAGTTGAATCGCGTATTCGATGTTGGGAGTCTAAGGGTAACATGGTATTTATATGATAAAGTTGCTAATTATCTTGATTCATAATACTACTTTTGAATAACAGTGATATGTGAGTGCATACAGAATATCTTCGGTTCCTTCCCGAACATTCTTCGTAGGAAAATATTGAAATTTGGTTGTCTTGTGAGAGTCTATGAAGAACGTTCTTCATACTAATAAGTATCCTAGTATCCTATTTCAGGTCATGACTTTAGAGCACCCGCAAATTTATCTCAGTTTAAGCTCATCTTCAACCATTTGAGTTGCATTCCCATGTCTTCGTATTCACTTTTGGCTTCACTTTTCATCCTTTCATAAATTCTGCATTCGGCTACTATCCATCTTCAGCAACCTTCGTCCCCACAACAACCACTTCCTTCTTTTACACCTATTGATCACTTTCTCTCCAGATTCCTATCAAAACTTATGAATTCAAATATCTTCAAGCCACTTCAACTACAATTGCTTCTTGCAAATTTGTACCCATTAGCACCTATTTACTATTGAAGTCCGTCCTCCCACAATCCATCTACTTTTCAAGACTTATCTAGCTCTTCTTCGACATCCTTCGATCTCATCAACCGCCTTCAAACCCGACTTTCGATTCGACCTCACCAACAAAATCGATATCGCCCTTCTCACCAAGGGTTTCCAAACCATTAAAGCACACAAATAAATTAATAAGGCTTTCTCAATATCTATAAACATGAAAATCCCATCTGGCTTGACTGACTTCGATGGGAATGCTCTTAAGGGAGAAGTCTACTTGACAAGCGGCAACTCGGGTACTCCAGGTAACCGGACGAAGCTACTTGAAAAGGACGTGAAGCAACAAGGCAGGCACTTCACTTGCTACGCTCTGACCGCAGAAAACGATGCTATCGTACCGTGCTTCAACATAAGTTCAGGTGTTAAGGAGTTCGTTGACGTTAAAGTCGATGGTATCTTACGGGCTTCTCATAGCAACGAGGGTGGTACCAAAAACTTCAGCAAGAAGTTTGAATGGGTCGTTGGTCAAACCAAATCGGGCAACAGATATGTCGACAGAATTTATCAGCTACAAATAGCAAAGAGGAATATTGAAAAGAGTTAGTCGTTCTTCCTAATCAATGACTTATACTGACTGTGAAACAGCACGAAACGTCAAAGGTGGCGCACCTCATTCAGTCGGCAGCATCGAAATACAAATATTCCGCAAAGATCCCAACGCTCATAAGAACCACGCAACTGATTCTGATTCTGATGATTCCTCATCATTATCAAAAGAAGAAGCTCCAGACCTCGGCAATGCAAAACGTGCACCGACGTTTGAAGACCATACCCACTGGTGGAATCTTAATCCATGTGTTGATGAAGACACTATTCCTTCTCCACCATTCGAAGTTGGCGGCGTTGGTTATAGGAAGTTTCAGGGTAACGCGAAAAGCCTCGTTGTGAAGAAATGGCCTGGTGATTATAAAGTTTGTGCTTCATTTAAATTCCTGCTCTTCTCTACCGCCGATTTCCACACGATGGACTTCCTGGATACCCCAGAATACATCGGAACACCATGGAATGGAACAAGGGCATCGTCAAAGAAACCGACGGCAAAGGATGTTTCACGAGCATCAAAGGCTTCTTCGGTCATTGACCCCGATGATGTTGACAGTGATGATGATGATGATGTTGTTGATACTGTTGAAAATGTCGATAAGCCTGGACCTGAGACAAAGACTAAAATCGACGGGCCAACAAAGATTTCCAAAGGGAAAGAAGTTGGTAGGAAGGCGATTAGAACCAGTGTTTCTATAGAAATAGAAGTTCCTTCTCAAGCAGTCAAGTCGACGAAACCAGTGGGGAACAAGACTAGGGTCATCGAAGATTCTCAGTCTTCAGAAACTCTCGATGAAAGCCACGCTGAAGTCAACAGAACTGTGTCAAAGCCTTCTCGTCTTCCAAAAGTATCTCAATTTATTGATCTTAGTGGTGATGATGCTAGCGAACCTACAGATACCGTAGTCTTTGCACCAATTATCAAGATCGAGAAAGATGAGTTTGCGGGTGATGGCTTCGATCAAGGCAATGGAACTCGTACAAACCGCAAGAGAAAGCCACTTTCTATGTCCGGTGTGGAGGGAGCTCCGGCAAGCGAAGCCTGGAATGATCCTGATCGTTCTTTATGGTACCAACGCAGAGGCTTAAGCAAAAACTTAGACGATTCTCTCACGCTCAATGTTGATAAATCCCAAGCCGAGAAAGATCTTACCTCGTCAGACAAATCCAAAATTATATCTTTGGATGACCCAGACAGCTTGAACCAGCCCTCTGTGTCGTGTATAGTCGGAGAGGCAGCCGAGAAAGAGACTGTCACTCACTTCAAGCCACTTAGTACTCAGGTGGGTGGTCCATCCTGGAAGCCGTTGACCCCGCCAGTATCGTCAAAGAAGGCAGGTTCACATTACTTTGACTATTTTGGAACCGAAAGACGTCTTTTGTTTGGAGATTCCAATGGCACAATCCCAATTGAGTCAGCAGCTCGTGCTATTGTCACTGAAGATAATTATAGCGACAATGATAGCCGCGAAGCGAGTCCCTCAGTCAAACACGACCGGAGAGTTCCAGAAAACAAAGCTGAAGAATTAAGCCGACACGGCCTAGAACTCACCTTGGAAACAAAAGCTTCAAATATTGAGAAACCTGGCCAGTCTTCAAACGCCAATAACATGGAACCAAATTTTGACGAGTTCATTCACACATCGCCCCAGCCTGAAGATACAGAAATGGTTGACGCCATCGAGGCCGATCCTGAAACAGAGTTGACAGCACCAAGATCGCCATCTCGCGAGGCTGATCCTCAATCTACAATCACAAACCAAGATCAAGAATCTGTAAATAAAACCATACCTCCTCAATCTCAAGAATTAAACGACTCACAAAATGGTCAAAATGACTCTGAGAAGTCAACACAAGAAATACCTGAGAGCATTCTTGAAGGGATCGCGGAAGCTCAAAGGCTTCAGAGGGCCAAACAATTTCCATCAAGTGCTATTCCTGAAGTGGAAACCGAAGAAGCTTTCGAGTTTCATCGAGCTGAAGTCTCATCAGACACCGATATGACCAATTTCGACAATGACAAATTGCCTTCCGAAGCCACGAAGTCTAATAGCAAACTCAATGATGCACCTTTCGACATTGGAAACCAACAAGATGGTCGACAAGACTCTCCTGCTGAAGCAGACGAGTCTACGATAACAGTCGGTACTGCCAAGCCAGCCAAACAATCAAAGGCAAGAGCCCCAACAGCTGCCAAACCCTCTGCTCCAAAGACTGCGTCTACTCCAAAAACACAGCCTACGTCGGTGTCTAAGACAACCACTGTCCAAAAGCCACCAGCTGTAAAGGTTGAGAAGTCTTCAAATGCCTCTGCTCAACCAGAACAATCTCAAGCTAAACCAAAGAAGTCGACTTCAAAAGTTGAAAGCTCTTCGGTTGCATCAGCACAACCTGAGCAATCTCAAGCCAAGCCAAAGAAGCCTTCTCCAAAGACCACGAAGCTTCCAAGCGCCCCAAAGACTTCAAAGACACCAACAACTGTTGTTCCTGAAGAGCCCGTCACTAAACCCAAGGGCAAAAGCAGGGCGAAGGCTGGAGTAATTGATAAGCGCAAGGCTGATCAAATGACCTCCGCTGGCAGCAGTTCGGGACCAAACAAGACGAATATATCTCCCGCTTTGAAGCAAACATCTATTGTTGAAGGTGCGATTGCCATGGCAGAAGCAAGAAAGCAAGCAGCTATCGAGAAGAAGCAAGCTTTAGAAGAAAAGTTAAAGGCAATTCAATTAGCGAAGGCGGAGAAGGAGGTAAGATTGTCATGCTTCGATTTTTTTGACAACTGACTGACCTATCGACAGGTTGATAGAATCAATAAAGAGGCACAAGCTTTTGAAGATGAAGTCGCTGAATTGGAGGTAAGCTTTACACTCTTCAGTGTGATTAAAGTGTGCTAATCCGTAATGTAATAGAGGAAAATTGCGATGGAACAAATGGATGACGAATAAGCTTACTCCGACAGCTTAAAAGAAGTTGCCGAACTGGCGAGCCAGTGATACAAATCCAATTTCAACATCTTTTACAATAACACTATTCCGTATCTGAGAATGGCTCGTTGTCATACACCAACTCCCAGTTACACAACCTTCTTGCATTTCTCGCACATTTGCTTTGTTGTTCATTCTGCGGATCTCAAAGGAGTTCATTGTTGCATAATCATCCCATACTCATACTACAACTCTCTTATCTAAAGACGAAACCAAGATAGCCAGATACTTTTGGCAGGTTGAAGTTGTCAATCAATATTTGAAATGGATGGCTGTCTTCAACAACTTCAAGCAAATAGCAGAATATCTAGGCATACTTATGCTGTGCCGCAAGCTTACTGAGGGTGTTTTATTGCTACTCTTTACTATTTCTTTTGATCTTTATTTTATGTGGTCTGGAGCAAGCACGGCATACATGGGCGTAGTTTTTGGCGGAATTTGATACCTTTCTTCTTCATGATGGTGGCATGGGCAGTATTGGGATATCAAACAAACGATGAGAAATTAAAAACAGAAGACGAACCTGCATGATAAGAAGGTCATGAGGTCCAATGGGAGCCATTAATAATCTGAAAAAAATGTTACATATGAAAAATTTATCAACATCAATATCAATGCATGCTAAACTGAACTGAACATAAGTGACCTAGCGCCTTGCCTGATCATGATCGTAAAACCCGAAGTGCTGACTCCAACGCCCTATTCCCCTGTCTCAAAAGACCCATAACAACTAGGTATCATGGCTTTCATGACTTTCTTGGCACTCGCAAGTTTGCCTTTACTCTCTCTAACAACTGCTCTTTGGTATCCTTGGGTTGTGGATGAAGATCTCTCTGTAGAGGACGTGGTTAATTTCTATGGGTGATATATTTGAAGGAAAGCAAGAGAAGAGCTCCAAGAGTACTAACAGCCGCTAACCATCTCCGTAATTCCTCTCTTGACCACGTTGCTGGATCTATTGCGAGTTAATATCGGTTCATCAGCTGACAATGGGGTCATACACACCACCGGTGGGATCTTCTTCCTTTGGGAACATATCAGTCCCCCAAATGGACCAAGCTGCGGCTGCAGTTACGATGCCAGTGAAAGCTAATACTGCATTCTACAAATCTGTTAGTAACTTGCTTGCGAAGTGACTGGGGACAAACCTACTTTTGAGCTAAGAGCTCTATCTAAAGGAGTAGGCATTGTTGGTGGAGGGGGTGGCGTTGCTTGTCTGTTTGATATGGACAACGTTGTACTTTCAAAAGTCTTTCTTTCTTCAACACAACTTTTCTATCAAATGTACGTGAAACAGATCAAAGTGTCGAATTTCAATTACCAAAATTTAAAGACTTTAAATAGATAATCATTCACGGAGAAGTGCTTGCCTAATGATCAGAAACCTGTCCTCCTCACAAGCCACAAAACCGTGCGACAACTAACGCCACATCAATTGGCTCATGGATGCTCATGGATCTTATCAACCAAAACCCTTCCGTACAATCGTAACCGAGCTTGCTTACTAATCACCACACAATCCCGATTTTCCACATCAACAACCTCATTATCACGAAGTCCCGATTCCTGTCATCAATTCCCGATTTTCTCACCAATTTTCGACTAATCAATCCGTCAAAATGCCTCGCGAAATCACCGACATCAAATCCGTGAGTTATATCCCTTTTGAGACGGGCGGTGGAATGGAGAACGGGAAGAAGTTTTAAGGACAAGTGTGGACAGAGGCTAATATTGAATCAAATAGTTCTTGGAGATTTGCAGACGCAAGGATGCTTCCTGTATGTGTTTATTCCTATTCTATCATCGCCTCGCGCAGATTCTATTCTATTTCGAATACGGGAGAGTTTTGGAGGCATTTGAAATTGGGCTGTTGAGGGAAGGATGAATCTGCGGGATAGAATGGCGCAATCTATAAAGTTACGGAAAGACTAACATAGCACACAATAGCTGCCCGCATAAAGAAGAATGTCGGAAAGACCAGCGCCATCAAGATCAAGGTCAGATGCCAAAAGTACTTGTACACCCTTGTCCTTAAGGATTTGGAGAAGGCCGAGAAGTTGAAGCAAAGTCTTCCACCTAGTATGATTCCCTCACCTCTTTCACTTGAGGTCCAAAAAATACTAACACAACCTTCAGACCTCACCATCGCCGAAACCCCAAAGAAGAACCAAAAGGGAAAGAGAATCGCATAAATGGCTGAATATTGGGATTAGATTATGGATTCAAGCAGTGGATGAGACAATACAAACATTGATTGCACAGTCAAGATATTTCGAGCATGGTCGGCGTTTGCAAAATTGCAATGTGATATCTCACTTCCGTTCTATGAAAATAAACGGATTAGAGTGCGAAAATGAGAAAAGCTTTCGGAATCCAATTTTTGTGTCTGGTTGTCCAAGACAACATGTGTATGGTTGGTGAGATGTGAACTGGACACCTGCAATGATTTGCCTAGGTTTTCATTACGAATTATCCTCAAGTATCCGCGCACCACTTAAGTCAAGATGGTACTGGGCATCCTACTTGTGTATCTTCGACTTTGATTTATTCCACTATTAGCATCTAATGGAAATATTGAGAGAGCATAGTTTCAAATACTTGTGTTTGAGATCTCCATTTGCTCAGTAACAGAAAGGTAGATCAAGGGTCATCTGGTTACTATCTGGCTGCCTCGATACAAATTCAACAGCAGATTGATGGCAAGATCGCTGATTGGGACACTCGTTTCTCACATTGATTCTTTGTCTCTCGACGTTTCAAAGAACCTTTATTCGCTTTGTCAAGATATCCTTCACAAAGAATCTTAAACATAGTGACATTTTATTCTTTGGACTTTCACTAAGCCAGGTGCTCTCCCTTTCATCTGTTCGTTCTCTTTGTTCTATTCAACATATATCCATCGACAATCCCATTGTCTACGCTTTTCCCACCTATTTTCCCAAATATTTTTGCTTGCCAATTTTTACCTTTTCTGCGCCCTATTAATATTATATCCTTGCACTCATTCTTAGCAGTTCAAGACGCTGGCCGTCATTATTACAAGCGAAAAGTTCAAGGAGACACATAACTCCTTTACAAATCCAATTATCAAGTCAGTAGCACATTTCCTATTCTCACATTCGACATTGGGCAGGCCCAAAGTCATTATCCATCCATTTGAAAACCAGTAAGTTATATTCCCATTCTATCCCTCACAATGACAATTCACGAGTGTCATCTCAATCCCTACGCCGCTCGGCGCATACTCTGGGCCGGCGACCGCGCCCATATTCCCCTGCAGCCTCTCTGCTGCACCTACTCGCAAGCTGCAGATCTCATCGCCGACAACATAGCCAATGTTCTGCATGGCCCCACTGGCCATCCTCCCCACGACCCCTTCTACAAGATCAAAGAAAACTGGAGACGTTCCAACCTCTCTGATCTCGCGGCTGTCATCAAAACCCCCTGGTTGAAAGGTAAGAAAGAACAAGATCTTCTCGATTTATATTTTTCCTATTTCAACGCCATGATTTTTGGAGGCGCGCTCAATACCATGAGATGTACGATGAAGCTCGAAGAGCCGAATGCGGAACAGAAGGCGAGAAATGTGTTGGGTACGACGGTTGATAAGAGAGGACAAAAGACTACCACGAGACATAATGTTTGTTGTTTTATTAGTGTATTTGTAAGGTCCCCGCCTCCCCAAAATGAAAAGGAGAGTAAGATCTTGTTGGAGAATTATCTGGGGACTATGTTGCATGAAATGGTTCATGCGTTTTTTAGTATCTATGTGTGTAAATGCAATACGAGCTGTAGGAGAAAGGTTCTGGAATTCGAAGAATCGGGATGACGGGGCATGGACTGCAATGGCAACGAGCGGCGAGGAGTATTGAGAGTTTTGCTAGACAGGGGTTGAGATTGGATGTTCGGTTAGGGAGGGAAGAAGCATTGGGATTGGAATTGGTGATTGCGGATAAGGAGATTTGGTACGTGGACTTGGAGAAGATGGGGATGGATAAGGAAGTTGTGAATCGGGAGATGGATTGGTTTGCGCATGTTTTTATGGAGGAGTTGGAGGAACGGAAGAAGATTGAAAAGGAAAGGGAAGATCAATTGGACAAATTAGAACATGAAAGAGTGGAAAGAGAAGAGGAGGAAGAACTAGCAAAGGAAGAATGGGAAAGAGAAAGACCCGAACGAGAAGCGAAGGAAAGACAATTGCTAAAGAGTCATAGATCACGTATTCATGAGAGTTTGCGAGGAATGAGCAGGAGAGCGAATGGGAAGATTTTCAAGAGGATCGCGAAACCGGTCCGCAAACCGCTTGCTAAATCGACGATTCGACTAGATGGTGAAGATGCGACTGCGTCTTCAGAACCCTCTCTTCCTAATTTTCTCCTCGCGCGAAGAACGCATTTCGCGACCGAAAATGTAAAATCCAGCCCGGCTACTGATAGATATCTCAAGAACCCGAAACCAAGACAAGCATATCCGTATATACGGAGAACGGTCAATCCTAATATTCCTAGTATAAATGGAAAATTTAAGATAGGAATGGAGGTAAGCAAACATACATACGAGAACAGAGAAAGGAAAACAAAGAGAATGGGGGGAAGTGGAATGGCTAATGTGAAGATTCTGGATCTAGAGAAATTTTGGAATCTGGATGAGTGTGCGGAGGAGGTTTATAGGGTGAGGTATTATTAGATTTTTCTTTGCTTTTCTTTTCTTGGATTATTTTCTTTCTTGGGGTGGGTTCCATACATGTAGGTACATATATAAATTTTTAATTGTTCGATTTGAATTTTGGATGTACTGAGTGAGGATTGTTCTGATGTGTGGAAATGGCATGTGAGGTGGGAGCATGAAGAGAAGGAGAAGACGGTCTAATCCATCTAAATATCAAGCTGCAGTTCTTGGGTGTACTACTTGGTACTCTGTTCGACAGAAAATAACAAGTACATTCTACAATAACACTTACAGGTGAATACTGCCCCCACGCACAAACTCTCGTTTGGAAAGAAGAATCATGGGGCTGATACCAACACTAGAGCACCTATTGAAAGAGATACTACTTGCTTTCCTCTTTTTCCCACCGGGCGCTCAGAGAATCCTCAAGAAATTGTTTGTTGTCAATAAGCCCTAAAAATAGAACACAAACATGCAAGAAACGTGAAAGAAATATTCTACTCGAATCAGTTTCTTTCAATCAAGCTCACTAGAAAGAAAGCAGCGTATTTTACCCAATCAAATTAACAGAAATATATAGATACACATTCTCCATATCAGATTTCTAATTTTACTTCCTCGGCACCAACATCAAAACACTCAACAGAAGTCTATAGAGTAAACGTATTTATTATATACAAACTACACAACCATCTCCGAATCCGAATCCGAATCCCATTCCAGTCCCCATCAAGTATCTAACCCAATATAATTTCCAATCCCTCATGCAAATCCATTCCCCCTCTTTCCGTCCATCCATCCATCCATTTATCGTGAACTTTTAGCATGTACAAAAACCCATCATATCATAACCTCCAAAAAAGTTCCCCGTGTGAAGAAAACCTCCCTGTAATGACAATCCAACGCCTCTAAATGCACCCGTTGATGCTAGGTACTAAACTCAAACGCACCGAATCCAATCTTTCGCCGCGCTAAAGTGATGTGATCCATACGGAAAGAAAATGCTTCGGAAGACGGAAAAAGAAAAGAAAAGAAAAATATAATCCAAAATATGGAACAACGTAAGTCGCCGGTCATCCCATCACGCACAGAAGCGAGATAGATTATCGAAATCCCTCATCTCCAGCGTTAGGAAGAAAGGGGAGAGCATTGCGAGTAAACCCCAAACCCCGATCCATTCCTGGGCCAGGACTCTGTCCGCATCCGTCATGGGAGTAATGTCCATGATGATGTACTCCCCGAATCCTTTCCCGATGTCTCATTTCTCTCTCCGCATGCTCGTCTACCCTCCACTCTCCACCCCCCTGCCACCCCGGTCCATACGCTTCCCGCCTCACTTTAAAAAGCTCCAAGTTCGCCCTCATGCTACACAACCTCAGCCAATCCCTTCCAATCCACCTCTCCACCCACCCATCAATAACACCCACCACCCTATGAAATCCATCCGTGTGTCCCCCCATCTCCTTTGCGCCCCATCCACATTTCACGAATAGATAGCAATGCACTAACTCATGCAACAACGCACTTAACAATAATCTCCGATCATATTTCGGATCTCTAAGAATGGGTTCGGATAGAACTATTAGAGTTTCGAAGCCCCCTAGAGAAGAGGGGCGAAGAGCAGTAGTACCGATGAGTTCTGACGAATAGCGAGGCTGAGAAGGCGAGGACCAGGAAAGTCGAACGCGGTTGTGCAGGGAGTTGTGGAAGAATATCGTATCGATGAGGTAGATGATGCGGTCTATAGCGGGATCAGACAGGTGAGCTTTGAGAAGAAGGTTTTGGAGTTCGACTTCGAGATAGTGGTGGTCTGGAGGCCGGGTGTAGAGAAAGTGGTGTTCAACGATATTGGCTGCTTGGTCATCGCTCAAAATCGTATGGTCGTGGAGAGCAGGAGAAGGTATGGAGATGTTGTGATCAGAGACAATCGAATCACCGGAGAGAGTTCGTTCCATGACCGGAGCAGCGTAAACATTAAGAGGCGGTGAGGGGGAGGTAAAACATGGAGAAGGTGTTTTCATTGGGGTAAGTATTCGTTGATGGTATTGCAAAGTTTGTCGTGGAGGAGGCCGATATTGGGAGGCATTCGGACTAGATCTTTCGCGTTGTAAACGAGGTTCCCTTTCGAGTTTCGCCTTGACCTTCTCATAACGATGCCGCGAGTTTGGCCTTTTACCATCCGTACTTGCACTTCTTTTGATCGAAGCAGTAGCCATGAGAAATAAAGAAAAACGACGGACGGAATACAAAATTTGTGACCTTGGGAGTGGAAGGTAAGCTGGTGTATATTATTTTCGGACAAAGCTCACACTACTATGAGGAGCTGCATATGCCACACAACGCATGCACAGTGCAGTGAGGCTTACTCGGGTTAATATTGAATTAGCCCTGTCACCGCTTCTCAGATGCAGAGCTGTCGAAGTACATAAGGAAAAGGGAATGACAGTATGGATTTGCTTTTTCGTGATTTTGTTATTCCAAAAACAATAGCATGAGGCTGAAAGGATATCTTTTACAAGTATCTCGGACTTTACTTGATAAAGGTTGACCATTTACCACATATATCTCAATTGATAAGTGGGAGGAAACGTCAGATGCGGAGAAAGGTTTCAACAACCATAATCCTTCTTAAATCTCAATGACTCTCTCACTTGCGAATCGTGGATCTTTGATGAACGGATTGAACGGATTATGCGGAAATTTTTACCAAGGTTGTAAATTTAGTTGGGGTTTCTAGGGTTTCTAAGGTTCCTAAGTGTGCGTGTGCTGTGTGTGCAGTGACAGCGGGCGATCCGAAACCCCCAAGCAGAGCAATTGGAAGGTTACACACCGCCTCGCCTCATGTGTGAGATTCAAGAAGGGAAAAAGAAAAGATACGTTTCGTACCGTTAACGGATTGAACAAGGTCAATCAAATGTAAGGTAAGAAGTTGAAACTTAGAACCGGGCCCACAAGGTCAACTAAGTCTAAGTATCAACATGTGTGTGGACATGTATGTACAAAGCATGTATGTATCTGGGTTCTTAGCATCATCGTGGCCATTTTGCTTGGATCCACATGTTCCTCATCAACTTCCAAGCTTGCGTTGCAAAACAAGTGTCTAATTCGTCTAATTGTCTGATGGTCTAGTTGTCTGATGGTCTAATTGTCTGATAGTCTAATTCTACCAAAAGGACTTTGTATCAAGAAATACAATATTAACTTCGACTTACTACTTAGTAAGTTGCTCATAAGTTGGTAAGCTAGTAAATCGATATTGTATAATTAAATCCCAAGCTTGGTACTCTTCAGGGTCTCAACATATACACTGTCGTATTCAAAATATATCACAGTATTAAGCAATTTCCCTGACGCTAATGTACCTTTAATCTGATCTTGGTTGCCGCATTTCGTTCGCCTTGCTTGAAATGATAGGTCGAAAATTAATCTGACATTTCCTTAAGTCTTCGAATCCATCTTTTACAGACCACAAACTTTACATGCCAATGCTAGACAAAATATCCATTTAATTGCGAGATTGCCACACAATTCAGATCAATCCTCTTAAAATGGATGATCAAGTTGTACCGCCCTGTGAAAATTGATATGTGAGTACGAAGTGAGAAGCTAGTCACAACAATCCAATAAGTTTAACGTATACAAATGTATAACCTTACTACCGCATATCTGAAGTAACAAGGCTACCATTCAAATTCACACAAAAATGACCCGAAAAATCTTAAGGTTGTAAGGTACATGATCTTCGTCCCAAAATGTCTCAACTGGTCCAGAATCTTCGATTGCTACATGGAATACCAAGATGGGGATGCTTGATATCCGATTCCATTAAAAAATTCATCAAGGAGTACCCCAGCGGCTTCAGCGTCACTCTATTAGTATAAATGTACCTTCATCTCACCATTTTGAATGAGATTAAGTTCCATTGAACGAGGATCCGTGGAATCGTACAGCCTTATTCTCCGATCGGCATACAAATACGGTCAATCTTTTACCTTTTAGTGAATAGAGCCTTTTGAGAAAGCTGTGGTCAACATTTCACAAAAATGTGGTCCTGGGAACTTAGCCTGGTGTATCCCGGATTCCCTGTTGTGCTGGCAGAATATCGGCTGACCATATCAAATGGTCTAAAAATCGAGGATAATCTGTATGTACAATGCCTATTCCGTTGTTGTGCAGCAAGAATATACAGACCATTGACCCTGACTACGTCTCAAATGTCCGGCTTGAGTGTGAACATGTATTGAGAAAATACTTGGGGAGAGTAACCAGCTAAAGAAGTTACACAAATCCCATTCCTAAACCTCTCACGTACCTGACCTCATTCGCCTGCATCTCCAATGCTCTTCTCATAGTTTCTGAATGGGTATGTTCTTCCTTTTCCCGCAGAGCCTCCTCAGCAGTCTTGGGGGTTTCTTCAAAAGAGTCGGCCGTGAACCCAGGTTTGTTAGAGAAATTTAGAAGCCCTATTTTGTCTCCCGTCCACAAAACAAGGTCATTTTCGTTGACCGATCGATCATGGAGCCCAGAGTCAGTTGTCAAAATCTTGAGCGCAATGTCTCCAGATCCAGAATCCATGTAAGAATCGCCCAATGTGCCAAATATGCCTCTCGGGGCTGCAACAGAACCGTGAGCAATGTTCCATCTTCGTGACTCGGTAAATCCATCCCTCTCAAACCATTTCAGATTGCCCCCACCGTCAGAAACAACAATGCGGGTACCATGATTGGCAACAGATAAGAGTTTTGAGCTGGATGATGTTTGACGATTCTTCATGGTAGAATCTTGCAGGCGCCCGGCAGAAAATTGGGAAGATATATTGGAGAGATTCGGGTCAGGTGATAGACCGTACATCTCCAAAGAGCCTTTACTGTTGTACTCACCACAAGCAATCAACGTTTTCCCTGGTCTAGTCTTTGCTTGCCATACTTGCTCGACAGACAATTCACCCCGACGGGCAAGGTCTTTCTCCATTGAAGCAAAAGGATATGGAAGACTAGCAATTTGAGATAAGCGTGCGCCAGAATGAATCGTTCCGCGGAGCTTAGGAAAATTTCTGCGATCATAATTGAGAATGCTAGGAAATCGACCAGCCACGTATATATCTCCATTACCATTCCATTCACTTCCTGCACTGGGTAGATGAACAATACTGAGCGGGCCCGGTTGGTACAGATGTGCGTACTCGGCGCTTGGTTCTGGATCTAGCAAGCTTTTGAAACTAAAATGATTGCTAGCAGAGCCAGGTGTGCCGCTAAAAGAATCAAGTCGCTCAGCCTGGCTGGGCGATCCAACATTTGTTCTTTGACGAGAATCATGAAGGTAGAGAGATAGATTGGTTCCCACAGTGAGAGGTGTTGGATGTTTTGCCTCGGAAAGAGCAGTGATAGAAAATGGATATCTTTCATGATTAACTGTCTGTAAGGTCTCAAGATCAACTTCAACAAGACCTGTAGTAAAGTCAGTAGCTATTAGAAGAAGGGTAATAGACTCCATCTTCCAGATAGGTAGATTTAACATGAGATTGAATGATCGAGAACCCTTGTCATCAGATCACCATTTCAAGTAATCGAAACGTTGCTTTAAGGTAGTGTAGCTTTCAGAGGAGAATTCTACATACCACTTTGAACAGCAACATAGGCTCTCTTTAAAGTACTGTCAACACTAATACATTCTGTGACACCTGTACTTATCATCTTTGATCTTGACTTGAGATCTTTTGGGTTCTCATCAACGGACAAAATCCCTGACTTGCTCCTTGCAATAATGCTACCCTTTTTGGGGGCATCAGTACTGATATCCCAGATACAAATGGAACCATCATCAAGAGGTCTATGGCATGGCATTTAGTACAATTCTCATCTCATAGTATATGCCAATGAGAAACTAAAGAACTTACGCAACCACCATCGTGGTTCTAGTTTCTCCCATGGGTGTATACAACGCCATTCCTCGTACCTCCAAATGTTCATGGCCAGCGCTTTCGCGATGTCGAGGCTGTTGCACCCAACTTGTTGAAATTGGCGCATTTCTCGCTATGTACTCATCATACCATTTAACCTTCTCAGTCGGATAACTCGGATCCCAATTCGCCAATATCCTAACCCGCTCATTGGACTGAGCTTTGAGGTCGCGAGCTTCATGACGAGGTTTATGTAGTCTCGAATCGCCTGTTCCGTTGTTCGTAGCAAGAGCTATGGCTAAATCCCGCATACCTGACTCGTCCTCTGACTCTGTAGATATTAATTCTTGACGCCTGCGAAGCCTTTCGAGAAAGGAAGAATGGATAAAACATTGCTCTCGCCACAGTGTATCATCGCGACCCAATTCCAGGTATCGTTTGGAAACAAATTGCAGTTTGACGATATCTGAAGGCTCTAGATCTATCAACATGAACAATGTTAGCATTCGATTCTCATTCCGAGAATGCTAGAGAAAATTCACATGAAGTAATATTTAGAACTATCTCTGAAGGGAGGTCATCCATTTTGGTCAATCTTTTATAATAATTAATAAGAATAAGAATAAGTAGCTATATACTTGTATAGAAAGAAGGAATGTTAAGAATGTTGAACTTGAACATTGAAAGACTGACCCTGACATCGAGATCATAATCAGTCAACCTTGAGCTTCTAGCCGATCCGATAAGGCCGATTATGCAAGGGTCGGTGAATGATCTGTGCACGAAATAGACCTCATAGACCTCTCGAGCTTCTCACGTGCTTCTCTATCTCAAGTCTCTTCAACCCCACGTGCCCCACCAAATGAATGTTTTCGAACGACTTGTCGGCAGGAAATCATTAACCCCCCGAGGTCGGCAGCTTTTTTTTTTCATTGGGTGGGCTCTTCTCGATCACGTGATCAAACACGTGGACATTGAACATTGAACATTTACGAATACCGGTATCTTCTTTGTCCACGAGACGGGTATCAATGTAACAAGGCGACCGAAGATACTACATATCAAAATCTCGAATGCAGCTTCAATTTGATTGAGCTCAGTGTTTTTGAACGGCCATGTTCATCTTATGAAGTCATATAGATGCGCACTAAACTATAAAGTTCCTATCTCTCAGCTCTTAACCTTAGCAATTGCAAGCTACACAGTTTTATCTTAAAGGACACACATCCTTTCAAGATTGCAATGGATTTGGAAGCCATAGCATTGATCCTTCATGCCAAGCCCTTTGCCATTCTTTCATCGTAGGCTAGCACCTCAATGAGAATAGCAGCACCGGAGTAGAAGCACATGATGCTTGATTCATTCCCATATGCTATTGCATAGAATGCAGGAATACTGGTACCTCCACTACCATTAAGCCAAGCTACATTCTCATACTTCTTATGCGGCTATTCCCGCTCGAGATACTACATTATCTGGTAAGTGGATTGGAATCGTATTGACAGATTCGGGGATGCTAAGCGCTTACCTCTTCAAGATTATCTCGATGTTGTGAGTTGAAGTCACTGTCCACGGCTGTATGGAACTGAGTTCCTGCTCGAGTTATATGTACCTTGTCTTTGCCTTCACTCTCATCATCACTTTCAAATTCGCTGTTGCCTTCATTCTCATCCTCAGAGTAATCATCAACGTGCAGCACAGAACAGGCTTTAACCACTAGACCAAGCGATTGAAACGTGTTAAAAGATGATCATATCAATACCCTTCAATGCATATGGCATGATGTCATCTGCGTTTTTTTGAGTATGGGCATATAGATGGTCACAATAAAATCCAATCACACCACCTAACAACACGTCAACGATACCATCCGACATGGTAGAACAATAATGTACATACCTCTTTTCATAAAACCAGGCTGATCCAAAATATTTCTCGCAACTTCACATAACGGCGACAAGGTCGGATCTGCTACCAGGTTCTTTTGTAAGGGGATACCAATTTGCTGCGAGATATAGAGATTATAGGTCAATGTCACACGATGACCACTCGTGACTTCGAGTACCTCGTGCTCGCAGTCACTATAGAACGCAGCCCATTGGATGCTGTCCGATTTGTTGCCCCAATCAAAGAAAGTGTTAGAGCCTCTGTGGGTGACGCGCAATTGTCCACCTGCATAAAATTAGCTCTATCTTTATCACAAAAGGCAAGAGAGCAATGAGTCGGGGAGAGAAATGGATATACTGACCTTGATGAGAATATGGAAGACAGACGACTAGAGAACCAAACTGTCTCGTGCCACGTGGCGTGTCCACATGCGCTTTAAATTTTCCGCTGGGGCCAGAGTAGATCTGAACCACATTGCATTCTGTCAGTCGGGCTTTATCCACGAAGCTTTACATTATCCCCGACGAACGGCACTTACATTGAGCTTGTATAATTCGGCAAGCACACCTCGATGATCCCTCCTGTTCCGCAAAAAGTCTTTCTGAAAAACATCATGTAGTAATGTTTGAGCAATGATATCAAGAATTTCATAGTCATGCGGATGGAAGTCGATGGAAAACTGGCTTCTATCGAGCTTGCCGGCTTTACGATATGTTTCATCAAGCACATCCTTTCCTCCGAGACCAAACGACGCCGGGACACAGGTCTGAAGGAGTGCTTCCATTGACTTGGAAGTCGTGGAAACAGGGAATACTATCTTCTCGCATACATTTCCTGGCTTGGGGTCCCAGCGAAGCACGACCGGGGGTACTTGTTGTTGAAACGCTTGGTCGAAATCTAATCGAGGACTAGGTCAAATTTGTCTAGATATTTAAATAGTAAGGTCTGGACTGGAAAGAAATTACTTGCCTTCTGTGGGCTCTTTCTGGTTGGAAGACGAATCGTCAGGGGCTGCGATAGGAATGCTACCACCGCAGCAATAATTTGCACTCTCAGATATATCCACAGCTTTTCCCAATTCATGGAGAAGCTCTTCTTCAGCGAGCCCTGTCCAGCTTTTTGTCGACATAATGAAATGAGGAGGCTCTTTCTTTTTATTGACTAGAGGAAGAAATTTGAAAATGAGAAGAATGTTTTGGGAGGGGCAAAATATATACTTCAAGTTAAGGTATACTATGATATGCCTGCCTGCTCACCTTGATTTAGGCAGACTGCATATGTTGTGAGTCAAGACGCGTTTGTGACGCCCGACCACATGATTGATGGACAAAAAATTGATTTACAGAAGCAAAATGGCTCAATTGACTGTAAAAAATCAAAGCGGTAAGACATAATTCAGGCAGGTCCCTTCAGTAATTGAGCATCAATCTTACCACAACAGTGACTTTGATACATCTGTGTAACCTGCGCAGGGATATCGACAGGTAACAATTCAAATAATCGGATGATGATTCTGCCGGTTTAAACTTCAACATTTCTTCAAACAGTCGAACTTGGAAGAGTTTAGCAAATAAGCACTGATAAGTTTGTTCCAGGACTTTACTTTCATATCATGTTGGTCTCACGGACAGCTGTCTAGAGGTTGCATATATTGGGGGACTATCGAACGCCTCGATTGCTCAAATATCACAGGTAGGTCTTGACAATATCCGTTTGGCGTTATTGATTTGTCTAGCAGTGATTTTATGCTCATAGTCGTTTTCATTGTGCCGCAATTGTACAGGCTTCGTGTGTCATACATGCATCAACTGCTGAGGGGTGAGGAATTTTCTGCAATCAAACTTTTTATCTCATTTCGGCAAAAGCTATGATGAAGTTCTCGTTCCCTTGGTCTATTTTATTTATCCAAGAACCTATCAACTACCTGTTTCGGGCAAAGTCCTGCATGGTGCTTGTTTAACTACATACTCATAGGTCCTATGCATTTCCCTATGTGAGATAGTAAGTCTTGAAAGAGAGAAATGTTGTCTGTTCTGAGAAGAAATTTTATAGTGATGCAATCTTCAAAATCGTATAAATGTTTCGACTGCCAATGAATGCAAATAAAACGGCTCTCTTACACGTAGAGTAAGTTTTGCCTTTCCCAACGCGTGAGTGTGCGAGTTCCCTGTACACGATCTTTCTTTTCTATATAGATAGGTGGTGAATCTTCATACAAATCTGATTTTACCAATCCTAAAACTTACGCATATAGTACCGTATAAGCACTCGCAAAAATCCAGCTTTTCTACAAGAAGGTATTTTATGCTTCTATCTTTATGATGGTCGTCTAGCGATTTCGTTCAATAACCGATACCACATCGCGTATGGGTATTTTCCCCCGATGATATATTAGAAAGGAAAGTCTGAACTTGAAGTTAGTGTGCTAATATCCAATGGTTCGGTTCATAACTTGATATTGCAACCTCATATCAAGTGCCACGCTACCCACACACTACATTTCAAGCAACCTCAAGTCCTAGCACAACTATGTCTATACTACACAACAACAATGATAAATATGATCAAACAAAGTGAACCTTGACCGAACTCCCAGTACAACAAGGTCTGTAAAATTATCAACAATAATCAAATAAAGCCACACAAGCAATACACAAACCCTCCCCCCCCCCACCACCACAATCCCATTCTTCTCTCTCAAGCACTCCATCCAGTTCTCCTTCTCAAAAGCAAAAACAGAATCAACACAAACAAACCCCCTCCCCCAAAACTCAACCCAAACCACAAACATGCCCGACAACCCCCAGTCAACGAGTTCCTCAACCACATCTTCGACCTCATCTGCGAGCTCATGCAAGTCAAACTTCGCATCACACAACTCGCCAAACGAGAACGCGAAGCCCAGCAAATCTTCGCCCTCGGATCCCAGGAATTGCGCGAGCTGGCCGAGCGAGTCCAAGAGAATAATTCGCGTCATCTTCGTCTTCAATAGGAAATTCGAGCACAAGAGAGCGGTTTTGCGCGGGGGCGCAGTCGTCGGGTCGGTGTTTGTTTCGGTGCTTTTGGCGCGGATTTGTGAGATTTTGTAAGTTTTGAGATTTTAGCTAGGATTGGGGATTTTTTTGGGGTTGAGTGTTCCATTTAGTCTTTGATATTGTTTTCATTTCTAGCTACTTACTTCTCGATCGCACAATTTCCTAGTTAGTTTAGTTGGGTATTCAAGACTCCTCAGAGCTATTTATTTCTTAACTGATAGATGAACCAAAATAAAAATAATAAATCCAATCTCCTCTCCTCTCCCTCCTTCGCAATCCACGTACATGAAGATGTGATATCTATCACAATGAGAGAGAGAAGTACTGAATGAAGTAGACTAGACAATGCTATAATACCAACGACTCAATAAATGATAACCTCCTACAACATAACATCAAAGTTCAGACCGAACACAAGACAGGTGTAGCAAAAAAAAAAAAAGTAGTCAAAATTAACATTAATTACTTTTTAGAAATAGAATGTGTACTAAGAATCTATCCATCTAAAGTACCTAGGTCAAGTCATCATCGTTTCGTTTCGGTTCGCTTCAAATGGGATATCATGCGTGGTCTGTGTTCCTTTCCTTTCCTTTGCTTCCTAACCTGTTATCAGGTTATCCAAATTCCTACCTTAATCAGCTTCTCCAATCCTATAATCCAGATAGTATATCATAGCTCGTGAGTACCTCCATTTCTTATCCAACCCATCAATCATCCAACCCTACTCCAACCCCCCCTCCACCTTCAACTTCACACTCCTAAACATCTTCAACATCCGGTACGTAAACCCCCTCCTTACACGCCACCACCACTCTCTTAAAGAAACGTCTCCACTCCAACGGATCTCCCTTCACCTTTACAAATCTCACCTCCACCAACTCAATCTCTTCCGTCTCATAAGAATCCAAAACAATTTCTCCATTCATCCCACATCTTCTACTATCTACCGCTCGTACCTTGATCCAAGCTGCATGCAATTGACTACTTTGCAACTGTGCCAAAGGTGGTACTGGGATATTCATCGCATGCAAAGATTCAGAAAGAAGAGTCAGCAATTGAGGAACGGGGAGATGGGAAAAGAATCGCGTAAGCGAGTAATTCGGGAGAATATCTTGAAATTGACGAGCATGTTGTGTGAGACGAAGGGAGACGGCAGGATTGGATGAAAATTGAGACATGGAAGGTTCATCCGCGAGTGTGGCATCTCCATGATTCGATGCCACTGGTGAAGGAAGTTGGAAATTACAGGTAGTCTCGGCGGGTTGAGATGTGGGTAACACACGGGGCGGACGTTCCCAGTCAAATTGCATATCCATGACTGGAGCTTCTGGTTGCGTGAATGCAAAGTTATGACTATCGAGTTGCATCGCATCTTGACTAAGTTGTGATGCACTTGGCTTTTGCTTGAAGTCGATACGAAGATTTGCTAACATTTGAGTAGCAAGACCTAATGGATCGCTCATCTTGCCATCGGTGGTGAGAAGTGGGTTCTTGCGCGTATACCATGGATGGCGTTTGATGTGTTCAAAGTTAAAGCGTTTGGATACATCGACATTCATCATGCCTCTTAGTAATGATAGAACCGAAGACGGCAATCTTCGCCATAATTCATCTGAACTTCGTCCATTGGATTTTACGTACTCATCGAATTCCCAGCTTTCAGAAGTAGGTTGGTCCCAAGGTGTATTTCCCACCAAGAGCACAAATAAGACGACCCCGCATGACCAAATATCCACCATGTTTGCAGCGTATCCTGCACCCTTCACCTTGGTTTGAGTACTCCTAGAGCAAGAGATGACTTCCGGTGCAATGTATGGAGGACTACCACACATCGTCGTACTAAGTTTTCTCGCTCCATTATATTCAAACAGTGTTGCCAATCCAAAATCCGCAATCTTCAAATCGCCACTACTCGATAGTAATATATTTTCAGGCTTGATATCTCGATGCCCCACCCCCTTTTGATGCATATAGTTTACTCCCCCAATCAATTGTGTAAAGTAGAAATGTGCAATATCTTCTTTGACGCCAACATCTGCTTCGATTTTGTCGAATAAGTCTCCTCCCTCTGCATACTCCATGGCAATCCACTTCCACACAGCATCTTCGCCCGTCGCGAACCACTCTATAATATTTGGATGTCGTCCAATATGGGAATGCAGTGAAACCTCCATGGCGATTTGCTTCGACGAAATCCGGCCATGTTTGACTGCATAAGCTTTATGTATGAATTTGACTGCGAAAACTGGAGTGGAATCAGTTGGAGGGATGGCTTTCTTGATTCTACGTAATTATTTATTAGCATACACACAGATATGTTATATAATTCCGAGTATAGCACAGAGCCCCGAGCTGGCATTGTAATTTTCTCGACTTACGATGCATAGGCACCGCGACCTATTGTTTTCGAAATGATTCGAAAGGGTAGGTCGCGGGGCAGCGGGTCCATCTGTGACATCTGCATTGCCATAACTTTTAGATTGAGAAGAACGACGGTAAAAATGGACGAACGCGGGATGGATGTCTTTCCCAACCCCACCACTTGATTCCAAACGTAGGTAGAGAAAGAAAACGAATGAAGCTACGTGGGTGCCAATGGAAGAACCTTGGGAGAATAGGTACTAGAGGAGAAACTTATCCAATTAATCATCCAAGAAGTGGGAATTATTGAGAATTATTGTGAATCACAAACTATTGACCGTTTTCTTATAAACCAATTAAATTATTATTACAGACGGGGTCTTTGAATGTATGAAGCGCGTCTCGATGCGTCTTGATGCGTGTTGGTTTCAATTAACACGTCAAGTCGCGAATCACGAAAATTGGTGACTGCTTACTAGGTAGGGAAGCTCGAGGGAAGGTAGGGTTGGTAGGTATTGGAGAGGCAGATCTCGTACTAAAGACTTTAATACAGTCCGTTCGCGTTTCTATGGCTACCTACCCTGCCTTCCTGCCTAAAAAAAGAGAAAGTCGAAATAAACAAATCCCATCCTACTTCATTACGAGTAATAAAAACATCAATCCTTTCCAAGTTCTTTCCTACATAATAAAACACCCTTTCTTATATCTTCCTTCACTTCACATCCCATCACCACTCTTCTGTACATTCACCACACATCTACACCAAAAACTTCAAGTCGAAGAAGAAAAAACTCCCAAAAGGTTCCCAAAAGAATTTCTTTATTCCTCTTCTCTTCTCTTCTCTTCTTCCAGAAATACCCACCGTTTGCTCCTTTCCACACAATTGCCAATTGCCAATTGCTTTCAGATTGGCATTTCTTTTTATACATTCCCCATCGACTAAACCACCTTTGTCCGTTTCTGTCTCTCTTTTACACTAGCACCACTTACTGATCAATTTCTTAGTTACAAATACTTCCCTCACTTAATTGGATTTTTGCATTTCCTATTCTTCCTTCAAAAAATCCAAAAAATATCATCATCATGAATTACGCCATGGAGGATACACAGAACACTTCCCCAGGCGACGTACCACCTGCTCAAGCTGCCAAACTTGCTCCTCGTAAAGGTCCCGATGCTCAGAGTACCACCAAACGGTTTGTTCCCCCTTACATATCCTGACCGCTTCCCAGACCAGTCCTGCATTCCAGAAATCCAATACTAATCCCTCATTCTATTTCTGCCAGTCTTCAAACCGAATTAATGCAACTCATGACCTCTGCCGCCCCTGGTATCTCCGCGTTCCCTTCCGCAGATGGCAATCTTCTTTCCTGGACCGCGACAATCGATGGGCCAGATGATACTCCATATGCGTCTAAGAAATTCAAGTTATCTTTTGCGTTTCCATCCAACTATCCTTATGCACCACCAACCGTTCTCTTCAAGACTCCTATCTATCATCCCAATGTCGATTTCTCTGGAAGGATTTGCTTGGATATTTTGAAGGATAAGTGGACCGCCGCTTATAATATTCAAACGGTGTTGTTGAGTTTGCAGAGTCTCTTGGGCGAACCTAATAAGTACGTTTGATAAATTCCGGAACGAGTGAATTAGTACAAGATCAGAGCTAACATACATCTACAGTGCATCACCATTAAACGGCGAAGCCGCAGAGCTATGGGACAAAACCCCCGAGGAGTTCCAAAAGAAAGTTAATGGTCGTCACCAAGATATTGATGACGAATAGGTTTTAGGGGGAGGAGGAGTAAAAAACATCGTCATTCAGATACCCGGCGTCAATATGTTTATGAATTGGAGATTGTGCATAATGGACTTTGGTCTATGCCTCGGCTCGGGCATTGGGTTATTGCTGGATTCTCAGGATAGTACAGGAGGGCGTAGTCCTATTGGGACTTCGAAAGTTGTATCCTTATTTTGGACCTTCAATCAATACAAACGAACGCATTATTAAATATTTTTGAACTCTGCTTGATGTGCATGACTTATGACGTGAGACTTACTTCATGCAACCTATTTCCACTGACGATTTTGACCTAGTCTAACAGTCGCTTTTACGATAGGGCGTAGCGATAGGGAAACCTTTCAAAGGACCTACCTAGGCCAATGCACAGACTAATCTTCTTACCCTTAATTGTCAACTCGGTCCTTAACCATTCGTCCACTGGCCATAGCCATGTTGATTTACATGGGCAGTTCATTTTGGGGTTTCCAGGGTTTCTTTGCCATCGCTCAAGGTCGCAAACGTGATAAATATCGCTGTGGGCTATGTGTGATGCGCGGTGGAATGGAACAAGAAATAAAACATTCAGATATTCTGCAGGAAAGTCTGGCAATGTGGTATCAAGATTTGAAGATTCCTATGCTCAATGAAATATGGGAACTGCAAAGCTCGCAGAAATTATGTCGAAGGGGGTTTCTGATGCATCACTTGTTTGCATGCTTCGATGGCCCAAAAGTAATCTCACACTATTTCCACTGCACATTTGCATGGCCTGGAGAAGCATCACTTCCTCAACTCCTCGGAAAAAGACCCCATCTGCCTTTTCCCAGCCTCATAGCACAGACCAATATCACAAGTGCATGAAAATGTTCCCACAACAATTGACTGCATTTAGGTATCGAAAGTTAGACCTTTTCATTTTCCGCTACCTTAGCAAGCAGAAATGCAGCAACTCCAGAAGTATCCCCCATGCCATTTGATTTTTATCATTTATGCATCCTCAACGACAACGGTGTGAAGACCCTTGGGGTTTTGGACGTTGACGGCTTGGACGTAACTGTACAACTTCTCCTTGGCGCCCTCCTCGTCGTTACGCTTTCTCGAGATTCGTACGCGGAGTCTGAATGGAACACCCTTGATACCAGCTTCCCAGACCTTCTTGTTCAATTGGGGATCGAGACGGACATCGGTGGTACCCTATAAATTAATGAAATACCAACATCAGTATTCTTTCCTTGTTGTATCCTCCTGCCGATCTTTCTAGATGGAAATCCATACCATTGACAAAGTAGCGAATGCCTTAATCTCCTTGATGGCTCTTGGGGCACGCTTCTTGAAAGAAACACCATGTAACTAAAACAAAACTATCAGTCTTCTGCCTCTTTTCGACGCCCTATTTTTCGCAATTTCGACATACTCTCTTGTGGAGGTGGATGGTGTACTCGCGCGCAACAACATCAGCGATGGCGGATCTTTGGGCCTTGCCGCCGGTCTTCTTGGTGGTCGTCGACATTTCTGAGATATTTGTTAGAATTGAGAGATTTCGATTTTCGATTTTCGATTGATTCGGCTGGGAGGTATATTAACGTACTGAAGGATTTGTCGCGAGATTTGTCGTGAAAAGTTGTCTTGTCTGAGCTTCAATAATGCAGTCTTAGAATTTCGAAATTCCTTCAGTGTGGAAGGCGCTAGTTAACCGAAAAGTTCAATAAATTATTAATGCCTTATAGTTGATTACGTAATATTACAAGGCCACAACCGCGAACCTCAGTTTGTCAATGGATTCAGTGCGACGCCGATAACATAACGTTTATGACTTCAATTCTAATTGAACTGAGCGTCGCAAACTTTAAAACTCTCCTCAGGTTCTAAGTTTTTTTTACGGATCCTATTCTCTCTTTTAGTTTATCCTCACTTTCGACGCTCTTTCCAATCTTTCCTTTTCATTACCACGACAACAACAACTTCATAACAATCCTCTAATTTGCGACAACACCTGAGCACTCCTTGCAGAAGCAGAGCCAATAGTTCGACCAATACATTCCAATTCAGTACTTTTCGCTTTTCGATCAACCCAGTTCTGGTCTTGTCTCTGTCAACATGTCAGGAATCAGCTCCCCTCAACCCGATCTAAATCGGAATCGGCTTCCAACTCTATTCGAGGTACTCAGCAGAAGGACTTTACCCCCAGTGGATCTATTCTCCTTCTATATTTATATGAGAGATCAGCAGCGCTCTGTTGATTACCTTGATTTTTGGTTCGTGATCCTTGCATTGAATTGTCTAATTCAATCACTAACGTGAGGGCAGGCTTGATGTTGCTCAACATATGTCGTTATGCCGACACTATGTTCGCGAACTGCGACGATCTGTAATGATTGGTACACCTAAAGGCGACGATGCTCAATCCAAGCGATCTTCTGCTGTTCTAGAAAATCTTGGTGATATGTCAAATCCCGCTGGACCATCCATGTTCACCACAGAAAAGGAGAAAAACCAAGATGCTCAGATGTCCGCCTTCCTCAGAGAACAATCTGATACTGGAGAGGTTGTTGCCCCACAAGGACACTCTCCTTCCCACAGTTTGGGATCCAGTGTTTCCGGTCACAATCTGGGAAATATGTCTAGCGAAAGGCCTAGACCAAGTTTCATGAGCAGCCCTATGGATTTGACGTCAGATTCAAATTCTCCTGCACACACTGTCGCGAGAGCCGACATTCGAGCTTCTGCTGAGAAGATTCTCTATACTTTCCTCCTTCCAGGTGCCGAACGTGAGATTATTCTTCCACATGCCATCACCCAAGATATTACCATTTCTATTGAAGAAAGAGGACGCGACGATCCGGAAGTGTTTGATGCAGCCAAGGACTATGTTTTCCAAGCAATGGAAAGGGATGCTTTCCCAGGCTTCTTGAGAATGAAGGCTTTGGGCAACTTAGTCCCTCCTTCGATGATGTTGAGATTGATTGTTGGCCTACTTTCAATGTTTGCCGCATTCTGGGTCGGATTCATTCTAATCTTCCTCAACTATCCCCACCATACTCGTGTTTGGGTACGTATCTCACATTTATTTTTATACTCTTCATCTCCGTACTAACATGATCTCAGCTCCTTCTTCCCTTCACCATTGGTGTCTATGCACTCTGTTCTCACCAATATGCCCTCGATCCCATTCTTGCCCTGGCCGGGTACAGTGAATACACATTCATGTCTTTCTCCAAAATTCGAGAACCATTTGTTCGAAGGCTTCTCCACAAACGTGCGCTCATGGTCCTAATGGTCACAGCTATCACCGATGCAGCACTAGTCCTAATATTTGCGTTGGTACCTGGAAAGAGATTGTAATATGAGGATCGATGGATGAAGGCTAATGCAAAAGTATAACAACTACATGAAACATAAACAAAGCACACTCGGAACTGGGATGGAAAGAAAGGGAGTTTTGGGAGTTCTGTTTATAGAGCGAGGTGTTCTGGGGACAAATCTTCTCTTTCATATTATGTGATTTGGGATTTTGTACACAGGGTTGGCAGACAGGCAGGATGATATCACAGGTTGATTTGATGGCGTTGAGTTGATTTGTTTTTATATTCTTCTTCTCGAAAAAGACTGGATGTCTCTACAAAGAGGATGGACGATTCCAAGATCCTTTTAATGACACCTCTTTTCTGGTTTTTTCCTTAACTTATCTATTTGTATGCGTGGGAGCTAATAGCGTGTCATTTTGATATCCTCTTCCTTCATACATTCAATGCATGATTATTTTCATATAGAAATCGCACAACCTGACTAAACCAATGTGAAAATGTATGCTCTGCCTTCTCCCTCTTCATACGCCATCTTGTATTTTTATCACTGATTCCTGCTTCCACGCCCGAAAACGAATTGGGGTATATCTCGCCAGAACATAAGAAAAATTCATACGTATGGAACTATGATTTTCCGTAGGAAAATAACTTCCGGAGGACACCAGGAATTTTTTCTAGGCCTTCTGGGCTTGCTGACGTCGTTGAAGAAGCTAAATTTTCTGCGCTAAAGAATTGGTCAGTGAAGAGTCCTACTGGTCACAAGCTCGAAGCTGCGACAGCAAAACAACTCACTTCCCAAATCCTAACCCGCCAAAACCTCTCTTCTTCGAACTTCGTGTGTCCTTATGCTGACCACCCATTGGATCCACGTCATCCATTTCCTCATCACTAGACTGTCCTTCTAATCGGTTGTGGCGTTTCCCAGATGATCTCGTCATTCTGCCTGTTAGACTTTGGATATTGCCCATGATACCAGTCGGTCCTGACGAATTCTCAGAGGGAGGAGTGGGTTCGAGGAGAGATTCGACGTGGGCGTTCCAATCCTGTTCATCGCGGTGACGGCGCTGGGCATCGGCTTTGATGGAGGCGATTTGAGATTCGAGGGAAGAGAGGGTAGTGGTGCAACGAGCGGACCAGGCGGAGAGAGTGGAGAGCATAGATGGGATTGTGGAGTGGGGAAGATCGCGGAGGGGTGAGACGGAGGAGACAAGTACGGTTTGATTATATGGGTCCAATGTACAAGTAATGAGACCAGCATATATAGCACTGATGACAAGATCTTCGAGTTCGCGGGGAGTGGAGAGAGCGAGGGCAGATTGGAGTTTGGGGTAAGTCAATTCGGCGGGGTTCTTGGCAAGGGTGAGAAAGGAAAGCTGGCGGAGTTTGAGGGTTTGAGCTGCGGAAAGGGTGGGGAGAGATGGATCGCTAGTGTAGTCGGCGTATGTGCCATAACTGAAGATCTTCAGGAGGGAGAGATAGGCTGCTTGCTCTGGAGGGGCGGTAGAAAGAGCTTGAATTTGGGGAGTGAGGAGAAGTTCGGTGAATATGTAGGTTCCTGGAGCATCAGTCGCTCGAGTGATCAGGTCGACAGCAGCGCGGGGTGATGTCGCAGATTTCGTAAGAGCTAGGAAGGGCTTGATACAGTTAGTACATTGGCGTCAATTGTGTGTAGATACAGTTGAAAATCATAAATACCTCCAAAGCATTCAGAGCCTTGATTTGCTCCATCTTATATTTATGAGTATTGGTATGGGTTGTATGAGCTTGTTGCCTATTGAAGAAGAGCTTCGAAAGTTATAGAGTCAAGAATGTCTTAACTTTTGGAATAGACAAGCAACGATTTCGAGAACCGAATTGCTGTGTATTTCGTATTGAAGTCGGGTAGAGGAAGTCTTGTTCACAAAGTAATATTGTGTAGTGGTAGAGTGTGAATTGATGGAGATGTAGCGTTTGCTATCTAATCGAGACTATCCGAGCTTGAGGCGCTAGTATGGTTAAGGTACTCCGTATAGTTGGTCCCCACTTTTATTTCACTCCATATTCTTGTCAACGTCAACGACAACGATCTCAATGACAATGAAAATGACCACTGAAAAACGACAACATTCAATAGGTCCAACCCCGAATCATGATGCCAAACTCTCACATTTGATGGTATTGTTTAGTCCAAATCACGTTAGGAGCTGATTTCATTGATGATACTTTATGAGGAGTATAAGTAAACTGTTCTTGCTGTTCTCTGAGGTTACGTCTAAAGGATATTCAAATTCTGAACTCGATAAAGGGGTGCAGCATCTAGATGTTCATAGAGTTTGTTAAGGGTATGAGTGGGTATTGGTCTTTTAAGAAGGGGAGCAAACGCCTGCCGGGTTGTTAGTTTGTGTAGAGTGAAGGTAGGAATAACTTGCGTGGGATGCTGGCAGGAGGTCGAGGATGCAGCAGTAAACCAGTATCATCAGCTTCTTTTCGGAGCTTGATGGAATCTTCTAAAACTCTTGAAGGGAATTTCGGCGCATTTCAGTGATAGAGGAGCTTCCAAAGAACTTGAGCAGAAGTCTAAGAAACTTGGCAAGGGAATAATGATGTGGTAGTAAATCATCGTTATAAGCTTCCAAAATCTTCTCACAATCTGGGAAAGACTATCAGTTGATTTCAAGGACTCAATGCATGTATAAGTGGTGATTAAAGGACTCCACAAATGTTGACAATTGGGGAGTCATGAGGTATGAAAGAGGAAGGCTGTGAAGTTCCCTCCTTTTTAGTCTCGAAATGGAAGGAATGATGCCGGACCCAGATATCTAATATCAACTGGGTCCACGGGTAGGTCGTAGGTTATTGTCAATTCAAAGGACTTAATAGCTATTCCCTCATAAGATGAATCTATCACTCCAACCTCCAGTTCTGAAATTCTCATTTGTATCATAAATTTCTCTAATTGCCCTCATCTCTTCATTGAACACTCCTGGCATTACCTAGGTAGCCAGAGGTATCGAGTGACCCATCAAAGGCATAGGTCGCATGATAGCGAAAATTGTTTGAACCGAAATCTGTCTTCACTTCATTCGCTTGGGGAAAACATGATTTGTTTATGCCGGCGGACCGATCGCGTTTTCATAATTACCTAAAATATCAACATCAAAACAAAAGAATCAACAACATCATACGACAAACCTCTTGAGGGCCGATTCACTCGCAGTTACCAACTTCATTCGTTCTTTTATTGCAAAGTCTCTCGTTTCTTATATAACACGCCGAACACGACAAGAGTGCATTTTTCCTTTCATTTTCAATTCGACTACAACTCAAGGAATTCTACATCATCAACGATACACGCGATTTCGACTATAGGATCCCTTGTTCCGCGCTGTACATCTCTATCTGGTACCAAGGACCATGAATGATTTCTCTTATTAGTCTGCTGTCTCTCAAACGACCATTGAATTGTTTTTCTACTTTCCCCACTGAATCGTGTGTTGATATTCGGCCGCAAGTCGAGGTACCATCAACACGGTGAATACTTTAATAACCAAACCCCACATTTCTGTCAATCGATGCTTGTCAATAGGCAGTCTTTTTTAACATAATGTCTCATTCTATGGTTGGGTTTGCGGATCTACCAATTTCCAAAAACTTATCCAAGAACCCATATCGTCAACAACCAGTCTCATCTGATTACCTCAGATCCAGATCAACTTCTCAAGATGTCGAGTTTCCTTCTTCTTCCAATAAACCAACGCCAGTCAGAGCAGTCTTTGATGATCTGCATACTGCCCACTCCTCAATTACGTCAGGAAATAAAAGAACCTTAAGTGGGCGGCGTGCAATTTCACACAATCTCTTCGAACCACCCGAAAGATCCGATTCAGTACCACTCCAGAAGATAGAGAGAAAGCGCGGTACCAATGTCGAGTCGTTTCTTCAAAACATACCACTTCCTCCACCTCCTGCTGCCCTGTTCGGAGGCCGTTATGGGTCTGATGTTGAAAATTCCACACCGGTTCCTCGCTCAAGATCACAACGCCTTCCATTAACGGTCAAGGTCGAACCTGGCTCTTTGCTTGGCAACATGAAAACCGCACTCACAACTATATCATCACCCATTACACAAGATTTAATAGATGAAGAAAATAATGCTCCGGATCGGCCACCAGAAAATCTCAACATTGCAAAGGGCACTTTTGGGAAGAAAGCATCAGGTTACATGGCGCTTGTCAAAGAAAATGATGAAAAGGATCCATCTACCCCAGAAGCTCGACAATCAGGTCATGGTGGAAATGTTAGAGGCAAATCAAGCATTCAATTTCAAGGTCATGACTTTCCTATTCCTCATTTTCCTCTTGGTGAAGCACTATCGGGCTCGTCAAGTAGTGATGAAGGAGGGAGTTGGGTGATCTGACGCGTACAAAACCTCACAATCTGACACGGCATTCTTTGTATACACCAAATCAAGGAGAAGTTCAATCACCAATAAGCAAGAGTTTTTCTGACACAACTCCTCAGAGACACAGCTATGATTTCCGTCGAGCTACTAGCACTGTTGGCAACATCTATAAGCATTATCTTCACTCCAGCGGAGGAGGGGCTGACACCGATAGCGAAGAAGAGATGAATGAGAAAAGCCCTCTACGAGGAGAAATTGCCACTCAAGATTCAGATCATCAACACTACATTCGCGAATTTGACCTAAATATGAGACTGGACTCTGAAGAAATGTTGCCCACCGCTCTTAATATACACAAACAACGCAAAGTCGTTAGGGTAGCCGAAGAGCCTAATAATCAGCCACCAACTCGTACTTTGCCCGAAATACCAATCCTTGACGTGCCAATAATTGCTCCAAATACATCTCTAGGAAGCGGTCAACCTTCCTACGGCGATACACACAAACTCACTCAAACAACTAAAGGGGTATCTCGAAAGGTTTTGCAGCAGAGAACCAACGACATGGATTCCGATGTAGATGACTCTGAGGCAGAAGTCTCCGCGCAACTACATGTACCCTCGTTTCCCTTCACAACACCAAAAATTCAAGCCACCCCAAAAGTCATAATCTCTCCAGCAGATGACCCTTCGGTATATGGAGATGATCCTCATTGGACGGACCCGGTTATGATGCGACAGCCATTGGAGAGAGAAGTCAGCAAAGCCCTCCGTCGTGCTAGTGGCTATAGTGTCTATAGTATGGAAAGTGCATCAACTTCATTGACTCGCCGGAATGAGCATCCTCGACCTCAGAGGTCTGGATTGAATTTCTCAAGGAAAATCAACGTCGAGGATACACCCCCATCTGACTCCGGAAGCCTTAGCACTGAGCAAAGAGACTTCATAGCACAGGCGCAAGCCTTTTATGATCGTGGAGCAATTGCACCAAATTGGGTTACTGCTAATCATCAGAATGTTGTTCGCATCCCGATTAGTCACAGTGTTAACCTTCCAGATTCTCCTCCAGATTCTCCTAACGATCGACCTCATGAATCGTCCGAAAAACATACCACACCTACTGAGGCCGAGGATTGGGAAACTGTGGCAGACAGTGCTACAGGACCTTTTGGTCGTTCCAAACCAAACGAACCAATGATGATGGGAGGTCTTGTAAATAGAGCTGGAAGCAGCATTGCAGATAACTCAGATGATGGCACAGATAGTACGGAGCCACTACATATTGATGAGTATGGATCTTCGGACCGTATTGCGCATCACCCAGGCAATATTGAATACTATGGAGATTATCGCCAGAGAGATCTAAAAAGACTCACATTCCTGTGTTTTTGCCTGTTTTCAGAGAACATAAGGTCAATGGATATCTTGCAGATTCAAATAGGACACGACCACCTCCGAATTATTACAACTACAATCCGCAACCTCTTCTCAAAACTCATACCAATCCATTCAAATCTCCTCCACCGAAGATGAAACCACCTCGTGGTCAAAACATCAATTTGATTCCGCCATCCCTACACACAAGCGAGGAAAGTGCAGACTTTACAAATTCAAATCAAGGCCAGCAAGTTCCTTCCGGAAATAAAGGTCATGTAGATGATCGCTTGAGATTCGACTGGACAGGTGAACTGGAGCCAGGAATCGCTTTGGGTGGTTCTAGTGATAATCTATCACCGTTGAATAAAAAGCGATCCAGTTCGTGGCAATATGTTCTGGCCCTTGGTGAGAAGATTGCTAGTCCAAAGAGAGAACTATTCGCGACAACGTCAACTACCAGCAGCAAACATAAGGAAATCAACATCGAACTGAAGGCTACCGGTGCTTCAAAGCCTCAAGGTCAAAAGCCTTTCATTAAAGGTCCTCCAGGTGCCTTCTATAGGGATTTACATTTGAACTCGAAGCATGAACCAAGGCGTGCTAGTTTGATTCAGGCAAAAAGACCTGCTAAACTTCCTGCTCAGAACAATAAAACAAAGGAGTACCCTACAAACACCCTTCGGCCTTTCGCACTGCTGGCATCTACTACTAATACACCTTCAAGCATCGAAGATCGTCTGATTGTTAAGCAACCTTCAACACCTGCTCGCAACAATAAGAACCGGGGTGCTGAAAGTGATAATCCGAATGACTTCATTTATCGATCACCTCTTGCTCCACCCAAGCGTCCAAGCTGGCAAGATTTGTACAGTCCCCGTCAATTGCAGGAAATTCAAAATGCTGCAATTTCAGACGGTTTCTTTGAATCCCAACCGGTACTTGGTAATAACCCTCGTGATTCGAAAGGAAATACATGGAAGCATCTATTTGAAAACCCCAAGTTATCTCCTTGGTCTCAAAACCCTGCTCATATCATTATTGAAGCTAGTCGGAAGAGAAGCATCTCAATCATGGTCTTGGCTTTGTGTAATTTATTTCCTCCAATTCTATTATTGTATGCAACTGGTAGAATGGATGGAGTCATTGTGTGGTGGACAAATGGGGATTTTTCATCTTTTGCATTAAAACAAAAGCGATACGCATGGTTATTATTGGCTTGTTGGATGTGTCTTATTGCTATTGGTCTTGTCGCATTTTTGATTATTTTCTTTACAAAATTGCGTTAGTGATAGGAAATTTTTGATTCGATAGTACGAGGTGAGGAATGAAAAGGATGGGAGAGGGGAAGTTAGAGAAGGGGAGGAGGGTAATCATCGTGGGTGAATTGAATGGATGAGCAATTGCATATTGTTATATGTGCTTTATGCTTGGTAGAGGAGAAGATGAGCATTCTGAGGTACGAGATCTTGAGTTGAGATTCTACAAATTTGATACGAAGGATCACTCAAGGGAGTGGATAATGGAGGTCAAATAATTGGCCATGGAGATAATTTTGGGAAGATGTCAAAAAGTGTATAGTGTGTATATTACCCTGAGCTATGAATAATATGAAAAGTATAATGGAAACGGAATTTTCACTCAATTATTGTTTTCAACGTGCTACTATGTGCGTGAACGACAAATGCAAAAGATAGCAGGTGGTGAGACATGAGCTAGAAGCTAGAGTTGGGAAGTGTGCTGTCTAAAATTGTGGCATACGTTCTATCATATTGGACAATAATTTTTGAGCTTCCAAAAAAAGACTTTCAAGTGATGGTGTATGTGGAGCTCTTGCTTGACATGAACCAAAATCCAAAAATTGAGGTTAAAATCTGCCAAAGTTAGGATTACATAAAATTCTATACTTTCACTCTCCCTTACTTCGATGATCGAAAACCCGTCTTGTATATTTCAAAAAATGATAGGAAGCCAAAAACCACAAGCGAAGCCCACTCGATCCACAAAATCAATTCTTACCCCACATTCACGCAAGGGAAGATTATTCCCAACACCAGCATCACCAAAAAAAGCCAGAACTTCACAACCATGTAACGTCCTCGAAAGAATACATAATTTGACCGGAAAAAATGGAATGTGGAAATAGAGGATGAGCAGAATTGGGAGATGAGAAAAAAAAGACAAAAAGGAATTGGACTAGCGGCGAATCGAACGCCGGACCTCTCCCATGCTAAGGGAACATTATACCACTAAACCACAAGCCCTTAACAGTATTCGGATCACCGTTTTTTAGAATATAACCTAATTTCATCTTTCAATCCAAAGACAAAAATTGGTAACGTGACTTATGGAGATCTTGGTCAAATAAATCATGCTTTCTGTAAAGAGGCATTGTATTGTAAAAGGATTGGGTTCTGTTGTTTAAAGTTAAGGAGAGAAAGGATGAGGGAAAGGAAAAGGGAAACAAATTGGAAAGAAAAAGGAGAGATGTAAAGTCTGTCCAGATTGTATATATACTAATAATTGAAATAATCTGAGGAATTATTATAAAAGGATTCAATTCTTGATTTAGAATCTAAAGCTAAAAAGAAAAGAAGAATAAAAAGAAAAGGAAAAGGAGAGAGCTTCAGATTATATATATATATAAAATATTATATACCTGATTATTTTCAATAATTTATTTAGTCTTTATAAAGACTAACTTTATAATAATCAGAAAGTCTTTAAATTATATTCAACATAATAACTTAATCTTAATGATTTAATTGTGACTCAACTATATAATAATTTGATTCCTTTTTGAGATCCCTTTCTTCATCTGATTATTAAGATTAATATTACTTGAAAGAACTGAATTAAAAGGGTTCAATTTGTTCTTGAAATCTATATTTACAGAACTATAGTTTTATAGATAACATTGAATTACATAATTGTCAAGGTACGGGTAAAGACTTATATTGTACCATAAGAGTAGAAGAGCTATGAAAGAGTGAAGCCCTACTTATAGGAAATAGGGCGTGCTAGTATGCTGTATCTAAAGTACAAAGACAACTACAGATTATATAATTAGCACCATAATAATACCCCCCGCTCAAAATGATTGATCCATAATCACAATATTAATTAATCTTTTAGAAAACAAAATAATATTAAAATACTCTAATTTTTATTATTAGATTAAAATGAACTTTCTTGAAAGTAATAATCAATTGCTAGAGCTTTTTAGATCTACTTCAACCTCGATTCAGGAATACACTTGATGTAAATACTAGTAGGAAATCAGGAGTAATAGATCTTTGAAATCTATCCAAATAAACGGTTCTGATTTATCTAGATTTGTTAAGTGAAAAGCAATGATTGTATCTTCCTAACCACAAAGGTCTTCAACAGATTACTAAAATACTGAATAATATTTCCATTTGATTTAATAATAAAATCCGTCCTTGTTATAACAATCAAATAGTTTATCGAATTCCCATCACTCGATTTCCTCGTTTATTTCGTCATTTTTTTTTTTAGGATACAATCTTGATTTCAATAGGATTCGGCTTCGTTGATTACTTCTTAACCGGCTAATCCAAATAAGCAATGGAGTAATCGGAATAATAAATTATAGAATACTAGAAAAATCTTAAAACTAATAAGAAACTGAAATAAACAGACTTGTTTTATAAACTTTTAGAATTTTATAAAAACTATTTCATTTATTATTACCTTTTTTTATCAAACAATTGATTTTTATATTCTTAATACTAACCTATACTTTATTATCTTCTTTATATAAAGAGGTGTCGATATAAGTCTTATTAGTGTAATCTTTTATATCTCTGAATAAATTAAATAGTTAGGGCTTTCAATTTTGTTAGAATAATCTCAAATCAGTCCACATCTTGTTGGCCTTTAGAAACTTGCATTTGTATTAATATAATAGGTTTAGGGGAACGAGGTAAAGAGGGCTTAACGCCGAGATATAGATGAAAACCATAGTTAATGAAAAATGGGGATATACCGGTAATCTCTAAGGTGGTATTATTAAATGCAAACTCCACAAATGAGAGCCCAATCATATCAGTCATCTTAATAAAAGTTTATAAAAACCCAAAGATATTATTCTATTATAACATTAATCCTCTCTATTTGTCCATCAGACTCAGAATAAAACAAGGAGGATCGTTTTTAAAATGATCAATAGATACTCAAATAAATATTTTCAGAATTCTAATATAAATTGTAAACCTTTATCGAATATTATATTATCAAATGCACCATATAGATAATAGACTTTTTCAATAAACCAATCAACAAGCTCCTCTGCAGATAGTTCTATAATCGGAATAAAATAATACATTTTTGTTAGATGGCAGATAATTGTGATGATATATTTGATGCTTTTTGTTATAGTATTTGTTGATTGATAGTGGTATAATGTAATCAATAAAGATATCGGATTAAAAGCGAAATGATATTAATAAAGATTCTAGGATCCGGGTGCAGCAAATTGGGAGACTTTGATTCGGAAGTAGAGTTGATAAGCTTATACATAAGTTTCGATTTCCCTTGATATATTGAACCATTAGTATATACAGGAGACAAAATCAATAGTTTAATTCAATCAGAATATTCTGCTAGATTAGTAGAGTGTGTTCAATATATAATCTGAGTGCAAAGTTCAGCGAAAAGGGGAATAAAGAGGTGGTTGTAATAGAAAATTTTATTATTAATTAATCTATAATCTTTAAAACAATTCAAGATCTTTTCGAATCAAATAAACTAATAACGAACAATTAGATTCTAAAGTGTTTTATGCATAATAATAACCAATTCAGATGATTTATATACTTTATCAATAAGATCATCGATTAGCTTTTTAATATCGGGAATGATTATACTCATAGGCATCGCGATGAGGTTAATATTATTATTTGTTTGTCAAATAAAGTCCTTGATATAGTAATATCGAATACTCTTTTCGGAAGGATTATTTATAAGCGATTCGTAATTCAATTATCATTAGAATCAGTATATACAGAGCGATCTTCTGTTTTCCTATTCAGTGTATCGAAGCAAACTGCTTTAAGACCCGATCTATATATAATACAAAAGTTAAGAACCAGCTAGGAATTCAGCCCATCTAGCTTGTTTTTGATTCAATATCTTTGTCAATATAAAATATTCTAAATTCTTATAATTAGTATAATCTTAAACGGCTTTTGAGTTTTATATAGTTCGGATTTCCATTCTTCTAAGGACTTGATAATAGTTAGTAGTTCCTTATTATAAATCTTATAATTGTATTCGGCAACACTATATTTTAAAAAGAAATATACAATCGGGCGTAGTTGGCCCTTATTGTTATACTAAGAGAAGACTCTGTTTGCAGTTCAGTTTGGAAGTATTTATCTCGATAATTGTATAACGATAATAATTAAATATTACAAGGATTAGAATAGAAACAAAGGTATTTTTTAAATTTTCAAAAGTATTTTCTTAATTAGTAATTCAATTCTATATATTCTCCTTCTTTAATAAAAAATTCAAAGGTTTCATAATTTTAGAAAAGTTGTAAATAAAGTATTAATAGAAATTAACAAACTCTAAAAAATATTGAAGATCTTTAGTTTAGTTAACAATTTTTATTCAAGGATAATCTTAACCTTATTAGAATCTATCTCGATATTACTAGAAATAATAATCAAACCGAAATACTTCGTTCTTTTTGTTTTGAATTTATATTTATTAATATCGATTTGTAATTCAGTATTAATAAATCTCCAAACGATTTTGCAAATCTGTTTTTGATAATTTATAATATTCTTAAAATAAATCAAGATATTATTTAGATATACTATGTAATTCTTATCCAAAAGATCAAAAAGAATATAATTAATATAATTCTGAAACAAGATAGGAGTATTACAAAGACTAAAGAGTATTATTAGGAATTCGAATAAGCTAAAGCGGGTTATAAAAGCGGTTTTCTATTCATGACCTTTTATAATCCATAATTTATTAAATATAGTAATGATATTCAATTTGATATAAACTTTAGTATAGCATAAAGTATTAAGGGTTTTTTTGATTAGTAATAATGAATAATAGTTTTTAATAGTAATATTATTCAATCCTCAATAGTTCTAACAGATTCGGATACCCCCCCCAGACTTTACAATTAGAAGAAATAAGATGATCGATTGAAAATGGAATTCACAAATGAATCTTTTATTTAAGTTATTATTAAGTTATTTACAAATAACTTAAAGTTTGGCTAGGGATATTGAACGGTCTTTATTATATAGAAACTTTTTATCTAATATAATCTCGATCTTATAATCCCAGAAGTATTATAACAAAAGCTTGTTGGTAAGAGAGGGTAAGAAATCAGTGAATAAATTATAAAGCCAAAACAGAAGTTTGCTTTAGATCTTGGTTATAAATAATACAGATTGGTCAATCTTTTTTATAAACTTTTCGATATTGTTCTTTACAATACTGTGGTGTAGTTGAATAGAATCATCTATTATAATCCAATATAACTCGCAAGCTTTATCTAATTTATTCTATATTACTTTTATAATATAAGTTTCTTGACCTTTACAGAATTGAATAAAACTATTAGCTATAAGGAACTTTATATTGTTTATACTTTATCGGATATTTCATAAGACATAAACGGTTTTTCTAGAAGATTCGGTAGTAATAAAGGATTCAATAAAAATAAAATGTTTAGGTTCCATAATGATCTTTTATATATCCTGAAGCCCATAATAATCCACACTAAGACTGATTTCAAGATCGGCTGGTTCGATATTATCTTGACACAGGTTTCTGCTTTTTTGTTAATTTGATAAATATAACAATAATTTGAGTCGATTAGCCTTAAATCAACAGGATTTATATTATCGAGGTTTCTATTAGTAACCTTTTCTATAATTAGGATTAGAGAAGCATATTCCAAGAATATCAATTGTTTTAGGGATGAAAAGAAGGAGGTCTGGAGACTTTTATTGATAATTTCCTTAATAAAGGCTTGATATAGGGTTAAAATAGATTTCTTCAAATTAGGTTTCAAAATAGACTTTCTAATAAATATATATAATATTGGATTAAACGCTGTGTCTGCTGGGATTAATATATTATTATAATCAGGAACGATGATTACAGCAAAGTTAACTGAGCAGCAATACCTGGAACAGTATATAGATATAAACTTGAGAGTTATTGCTATCCAATCAATAATAAGGTTATAATATTGGAGCCATGGAAGGCCAAGGATTATAGAATCTGTTTTGGAAAGATTAGTGACATAGAATAAGCCGATTTCTTTATAATTGTTAATTTATAAATCTAATAATGCATACTGAAATAGAATATCAGAAATCCTTCCATCTATCAATAATAGATTATGGGTAGTAGGAAGGGGGTGTATAAGGATACCAAACTTGAATATAAGGACTCTATCTATAAACTTATATCTCACAGCTTTATTATTTATTAAGCCAATAAGCAGGATAATTACATTAAGCGTAAAGGAAATTTCCATTGAGATTTTAAGAGATTTGTTATTCATTATTCTAAGATACAAAGAATCTCTAGATATAACTAATCTCTTAATCTATAAAGACAAGCTTTTCATAAAGAACCTCGATTTATAACTATAAACTGAGATTAATCTTTTAACATACGTGACTAGGAAATTGAATTTCCATTATTATCAGAATGTACAAAGCCTTCTACAAACCCGCCCAGATCCAAGCTAACAATAGGGGCTGGGGTGGTGTATCGAATTAGTACCACAGTAATTGGAAATGTATTCTGATAAATAGAGCAATAAGTATTACGGTAAAGTCTAGGATTGTAATTGTAATCGATAATAGGAAAACGATGAACATTCAGAGCATATTGATTCATAGCAGAAGAATAATCGGGGTATAATATAATTCCTAGACTGATATTATATTTTGTATTGTTGTATTGCTTTTCCTTACAATTAAGTTTGATATAACCCAGCTTTTGCAATAAAGGTAAAAACTAAGCTCGAGATATTGTTTTCTAGTATGATATACTAAGAATTGCTGGCCTTGACAGATAATATCTAGTTGTATAGAATCTTTAGAATAATTAAATATAAATGTTACAGTAACAATAACAGGCTTCTTTGTATTGAATTTAATCTGATCGTTAAAATTGATATCTTGATTCTTATATTGATTATTGAAATAAATCTTTTCCTCTAAGTTATTATAAATACCTTACCATTATACTACCCACACATTGATATTGATAGTAAATAGTTTATTAGAACAATAAATAAAAATATCAATGAGTTCTTATAATACCTTGAGTTTAAGATCAGCAATTTGTTATTCAGCAGTCTTCTTGCATTTGATTGTAAACTGCTTGAACTCGATAATAAAGTTATCAAATAAAGCCTTTTTCATTTTACATCTATTATAATCCATAAAAGCTTTTCATAAGAGATCTAGAATCTAATATTACTTATTTAGTTTATACCAAATACCTATAATAGTACACCATCCAGAAGGCTAAAGATTAAAATTATACGGGTTATTAATAATTATATCAAAATGTATCTGATTGTTTATATAAACAAAGCCGGAAAGTAGATTAACAAGGAATATGATTTTCTGAAATTCTGATTCGTTTTTATAATTCGTGGTCAAATAATAATTAATTGCACTACAAAAAGTCATATACTAATCTTAGTGCTTTATAATATCTTGTTTATTATCACTAAACTTTTCGGGAGTAACAAGATACTTGTAATAAGATAAAGCTTATGAATTATTGCGAATAGCAATTTTCAATATTTCAATTATATCTTTCAATTCGACAATCTTTAATTGAATATCAATAGCTTAGATTTGAACAGTGACAACTTGGACTTATAATAAACCTGTAATCAATTCGATCGATTTAAATACAGCTTGAGCAATAGCAAAGTATACAGTGTTTAGATTATTGAATAGATCTGTAAAGAAAGAGATATCGGCTTTAGCAGAGTTGAGAATATAATTCAAGAAAAGAAACTACAAAAGTAAATTAGATACAGGCGCTTCTAATACAAATACTTGTTCATTCATCTTCAGCACTTTTTGAGACTCAAAATATCGATGGCAGGGTATACAATAAATCAACAGTGGGTACGATTGATGTAATTAGAACAAGATATTAGTAAGGCTTTGAAAATAAAATAAGAAATAAAGCTATAATAGTTTATTTGAAAATAATACAAACTGTTAAGATATAGGTAAAGACTTATATTATATCATAAGGGTAAAAGAACTATAGAAAAGTGAAGCCCTACTTATAGAAGTAGGGCGTGCTAGTATACTGTGCCTAAGGCACAAAGGCAACTACAGATCATGTAGTTGGCGCCGTGACAGTGATAAAATTGTTTGATAGAGCTTTTGGAGCTTAGAATTCAAGAAAAACAGAACCCTGAATTCTATAGAGTATAAAGGTCTATATAAATAATTAGGATTTCCTGTTACAAGATCACTTCTGGGAGTATTCAGAAGCTTTACCGGCATGCTAAACAACCCAAAAGACTAGGAGATAGAGCTTCTAGTTCAACCTTACTCTCACATATATAGCAGGACAGGATAGGACAGGACAGGGTATAGGCTAGGGTCAATATCACCTCGTGATATTTCCTCTGTATTTAGAGCTTTGTGCTCAAGATAATCATTAGTTTCATACTATAGTTACAAGAATTTCAACTAGTTCCAACCTTATTGAATTCCTACTTGAAGTCTAGTCTAAACCACCTCGAGAGATCTCTAGACACCTCCACGTGACCCTAGAGGTAGCTCCCGTAACAAATAGGTTTTTGTTATATCTGTGTTTTGTGTATCGAAAATCAATGAAAGATCTCATAGAAACCTAAAGATAGATTGGTATAGGTTTTTTACAATTCTTTTATCATTTGTATAATATACTGTGTGATCTCGATTTATGTGTTTGGGAGTGTGTGTATAAGCTGTATATGTCTTGTAAGCTTATTTATATATTATGTGAGAGCAAGGGAAGTCAATTGAAGTTGAATACTGTAAAGAGAATTTTTATACAAAGTGTATTGTGATGTGATAGATGTAACTTTGAGAGGAGAGATGGCTCGAAGAGATTTGAAAAGAAGATAATTTGGATTTATAAAATTCATGATCTTTTCTATAGCTCTAAACACTATTCGAAAAAATGACTCACTTCTTTTTGAGTTATATCAAGGTTTCTGCAGTGCTTTTGGATCGAATTTGTGATGGTATACAGCTACTTCGATGGAGGTGGTAGCAGAAGTGAATATTACCTGTACGTTGCGATAGGGACTCTTTTTCGATCTTTTTGCGCCCCTGCCCTTTATGAGTAGCAAAAGCATCAAGAGTTAAAAGACGAGGTTCTTGCTCTAATGCTGATTCTGCTGTTGAGTGTTTACATTGGGTTTTAAACTAATTTAAAAGCTCTTCAGTATTGCAATACCCTTTAGGATTGAAAATGACGTCTACTCCCTTATGGTATTTTCTAGCTTCAGCTCTACGAGTGCTAGGACCTACTCCCTCAGCACCCTTAAATATAAGAAGAGGTTTGCATCGAGGTACTCCATCTGCAGAAACTAGATTTTGAAGAGTGGCTTGCCAGTTCTCCCACCCCCCTTTACCCCCTTTCAAAAGAGCAGTTTTATTACCTGTATGATCATACGTGCGTTCAGATGATCCAAATTCGAAGCCAAGTGGAGTTTGATCCATATTCGTGATATCTGAGAGTAGAAATCGACCTGAAACATATAAATTATTAATTGAATCTGAATAAAATGAGGGGTAAAAGCGGGGTAAATCTCGTTTTTAAACAAGGAGGGGACCTTACCAACTTTAGGGTTTTCTGCAGATTCATTCTGAGGGTTTCCAGCATCAGAATCAACGTTTCATATAGTGTTTCTTCGATTAAATTGGTACCAGCGTTGAATCACTTCTCGAAGCTCTTCGGGAGCTTTTTGTGCACGCTTAGTTTTACATCTTAAAGAGATAAGATATCGTCGAAGAAAAGCAGTGAACCAAGAATTTGAAAACTTAAAATTAAAATAAATCCATTTTGTAGGGAGAGTCTCTGTTTGAATGGCTTTTGAAGGGTAAAGCTTTCGATAAATCTCTTTTGCATGACGAGTAAACCAGTGATGTGTGATACGCTTTCCAATAGTTCTATGAAAACAGAATAGCTCGTAGAGACGCTCTTCCATCTCAGGGTGTGTACATCGTTGTTTGTTGTATGATATTCGAGAGCCTTTTCGAGCTGATAATATCGAACTTTCATTGCTAATCCATTTAGAAAGAAGGGAGGTGGTGATACCAGCTTTCTTGTTGCATAGTAAACAGTAACAGGGGAGTCGAGATCGTTTTTGTCTTTTCTCCAAGTATACCGATAATATTGAATAGCTCTAAGCTTGAATCCGCGTGGGTATGAAGATCGAGCTTGGAGGGGGTGATCACCTTCTTGAAATCGAATATGTTCAAAAGCTTCTATTATGGCTTCCTCATTTGGACCATCAACCCAGTGCCTTCGCATAAGATTCATTAAGGGGGGGGGACATGAATATTTCGAATATCAGACTTCGCTCCTCGGCGTGCTCGAGCTCCATTGAGGGTTTCAAAGAGTGTAGTTTGACCCATCTCAGGCTCAGATGGGAGAGAGTGTCTAGTACGAGATCTATCAGGATATTTGCGTTTATTAGCTTCATAAATTTCAAAATGAAGCTGCTCAGAGGGTGCGAGTGAAGACATAATGAGGGGTAAAAAGAGGGGTAAATTGATGGTTTTGATAGATAATCAAAAGAGTTGAAAGCTTAGAATCTGAAAGTTTGAAGAGATAAAACTGAATAGAATGAAATGAGTAGAATCAATGAAGAGAATATACTGATTTATAGGAAAATTGAATTAATATTGCTATTAATATCACTCAAAACAACGCTTTCTACTTCGAGGTTGATTGTGAAGGACTGTCATAAAAGGATTCAATTCTACCTTAGAATCTAAAACTAAAGAAGGAAGAAAAGAACAAGAAGAGAACTGTAAGAGCTCTGGACTATATACACCATGAGTCACGTGCTAGGCTAAGGTCCTAGAAGCTAGGTGACTAAGAAGGGAACCTGAAGGGACCGAATCGTCACATTGATTGATTTAATTTAACGTCCCGCTTCAGTCCATGACTATATAAGACGGCTAGGCCATAAGGGCGCTAATAGTCGGCTCTTCTAAGCGGCCTCCTAGTTCCTAGTCGGGGAAAGCGGTTGTCCCCGGAAAGCGCTTGTCCCCGAAAAAACTTCGAAAATACTATAATAATTGAATTATATTAACCACAACCTTTATAAATTATATAATTATTGATAAAATATTGATTATTATCATTATTCATTATACCTACAATGATAGATGAAGTTAAAGCTAAATATAATGAAGCTATTCAATATTGTTTGGATTATCCATAGGAACCTCTTTATATTACTGTACGAATTTGGAAGCTCGATAACCACTACAAATAATTGAAAAAGGCTGTACAATGTGGGTGCAATAGGTTAGCTAAAGGGATTTTTAGTTTTGTTAATGGAGGTCAAAATAGAGTATTGACTGAAGCTTAAGGAATGTGTATCAAGATTCTAATCTGTAATCTATTGAATTGCGATATTGTGTTTATTTACGAACTTATTTTCAATGTGATTGTATATCTCAAATGTGTTGAGAATCCAGAGGCAAAAGGTTTTACAAAATGATGGTTTAGAAGTTATTGGAAGAAAATAAAATTATATATTATTATTACAAATCCTCTTGCAAAACAATGTGCTCAAATATAAAAGGAAGAAGATATTTTAGAATGGTTTAAAAATTATCAAGAATATCTCAAATTGCTTAATATTATAAAGAAAACCCAAATCATAAACTTTGATGAAAACGGGATTTAGAATTGAATGTATGCATGAGCAGAAAATATTAGTTCCAGATGATATTTTTGAGGTAAATGTGTTTTGAATATATATTTATATGAATAAATACTAATTATATAATTTTATTCTATCAATTCTGAAGATTGATGCTCTATTATTATATTCGAAGTTATTGATGCTGCTGGCAGCTTTTTTCCATCTCTCCTAATTATAATAAAAGGAAAGGATTTAATGCAGAATTGGTTTCAAGCTACTTTATCAAAAGGAATACGAATTATCCTTTTTGTATTAGGATTATTACAAATGAGATAGCTATTACCTTCCTAAAATATTATATCGAAAATTCCGATTCTGGATCTGAAGCGGAATGGAAAATCCTTATTATGGATAATTATGGTTATATCTGTAACCAGAATTTATATAATTAGTAAATGAAAACCATATTCGACTATTCTGCCTTTTCCCATATCTCACGTATTGTATACAATCTCTTGATATAAACATATTTAGGGTATATAAACACTATTATCAATTAGTTATTTAGGAGATATTGATAGAATTCATTATCGAATATAATGTAATCTGTTTTTTGCGAGATTTAGCAATATTCGGTATAAAATATTCACTCTAAGCAATATAAAATCGGTATGGAAAAATTTAGGATTATATTCTATTAAATCAGAACTCTGTATTACTAATATTAGAAAATTCAATTGCCCTTGTGGATCTCTATCAATTATTGAAGATAAGCCTGAACTCCCTTCTTATACTATATCAGCTCGGCTAATGGAAGTAGCTTATGATTTAGGTTATTGGTGTTAAAAGATTTATAAAGCTAATTCAATATAAAGTGATTCTATTTGAGCAAACAAATTTGATACTTTTATTAGTAATATGCAAAATATACAAGTCGATACTACATTGGTTGAGGTAGAGGTAATCTTTCATTGCAAAAGAAAGCAATAGGATTTCGAAACTAGTTTGATATCCAAGCGACGATTTATAGTCCCTATTACTAAGGCTTCAAAGAGATTGATCTTAGAGGATATAAATAGAATTCAAAAATAACGAGATAGTAAGTTAAATGATATTATTAAGAGAAAGGATTGTGCTGCCTTTCTAATTATATGGAGAATTGAATACAATAAAATATTAGTAAGGGGTAAACAAGCTAGAAAGGAGAAGCGATTGAGAGTAAAGGAGCTAAAAACTATCAAAAACAGAATACCCCAATGCCTCTTCATCTAGCTACTCCGATAGTAGATCCAGAAGTCGAATGGAAATGTATGAATATTACATGGATGAAATTAGAAGAGAAAAAAAAATGAATGAAGGATTTGAAGGAATTAGAGAGATTAAGAGCTTCTAGAACGATAGGGAATACTAATAGCGATAATGATTATAATAGCGATAAGGTTACTTTTATAATTAATACCCAGAGTGATATGGAATTAGAACTATAGCAGGATTATATTCCTTTTATATTTATGGAGGACTTTCAGGAAAGAGAGGGTGAAAATAATGAATTTATGTATTTCAGCGATGATGATGATAATGGAGTCGATCTTCACTCTTTATAATAAAATATTATTGAAAAGATATATGTATTATTTATTATAATCCTCAAATGATATTAATAATGATATTTAACTAAAATTGTATTAATAAACTAATTTCTAAAAAGCATATATATCAGATTTTCGAAGTTTTTCGGGGACAAGCGCTTTCCGGGGACAACCGCTTTCCCCGACTAGGAACTAGGAGGCCGCTTAGAAGAGCCGACTATTAGCGGATAACTTTTGAAGTACACAATGGGAATGAAATAATAGGGAAAGTGAAAACAAATACTGGGGCATAGCGCTCACTATTGTATGTAGTCCATACAATAGATTTTGAAAGGGATTTTACCCCTCTCTCTCCTCTCTTTCATCTCTCTCCTCTTTCTTCTTTTGTATCTCTCCTTCTAGCTCTCTAATTACTCTCTCTTCTTTGCTTATTGAATCTTCCTCTTCAACTGATTGATTGATTAATTGATTTCATTTACATCCACATTCAGTCTAAGACTATATAGAATGGCTAGGCCTCTAGAGGCTCTAGCAAGTAACTTTTTATTCTACAAAGATGAATATATTCGATTTAGGGAAGTGAAAACAAATATTGGGAATTAGTACCTGTTTATTATATACATTATATATAATAAGGAAAAGGAAGTATAATATTCAAGAAATTAGAAAGAGACTCCTCCCTTCTTTTTCTTTTTCTTCAATTATTATTCCTTCTATTTTTGCAATAACTCTTTCTCTTTTTATTATTATATCTTTTCTTTTTCTATTATCTTTCTTTTTTCTGTTTTGTTTTGTATCAGAATTCTAGCCAGATGTTATACCCTTATAGCTATTTTGGTGATATTGATGAATTTGATGGTTAACTCGATATCAATTTTGATATAAAGTAGGAATTGTATAGTGATTTTGATAAAGATATCTTCTTAAAGATTTCTTTTCTTTTAGCTTTATATATAAAGCAGCTAATAAGGAGATATTGTAATATCTCGATATTATTATATATATATTTGTTATTGGAAAGTTTGAAGTGATGTAAATAAGATTTGATATATCCATAATCTAATTTGAGTTGAAAGAATATGCTAGTAGTATTTCGATTGGTTCTGTTTAATAGTTTGATTTTCGAGTTTATTTTCTATAGAAATAGTTTCGAATAAATTGATAGGGATTGGTTTGATTTGAGTTTGTATTGATTGAGAATATTAAGCTATTAATCTGAAGTATATTCCTTAATAATCATATCTAATAGTCCAAAGCTTGTTTTGTTTGAGATAGATTGTATTGTAGTTACTTTCTTGGCTAGCTTATCTACTAGCTTATTTCCTTCAATTGAAATATAACTAGGAACCTAATTTAGCAAGATTTCGATTCCTTTTGCTTTAATAACCTCTATTACTTTGATTGCTCTTATTTGATAAACCTGTTCTGAATAATCTGAAGGAGTTTTTAGGCGATATAGACCAGCTTGATTGTCTAAATAGATCTTGAAACTTTTGATCACTACAAGTAATGAAACTAGTATATTCGATAGTTTTATAATTCCAAAAAGCTCTCCATTATATATCAATTGATTAATATCAATATTGCTTTACTTTGATATAGAATTCGATTATTTGACTGTATAGTTACTATACCTATTCCGATATCAATTCCCTTTTTAATAAAAAAGGCATTAATGTAAATATAGATAATATCCTTATTCCTATATTTGAAGATAATATTATAAAGAATAGCAATATCTTCTTTTAATGAATTATTAATATTGATTTTGAAAAAGATATCTCTTTTTCATAAGGGAAAGTTAAAGTGAATAATCTTTTCGAATAAAGAAGGATTAAAGTTCTGATTTATCGATTCTTTGATTCTATTCAATTGAATAGATTTATATCGTTTTCTTTAAGGTGTAGAAATCACTTCTAAATCGGCTTGATATTGAGCTGAAATTTCTTTTTCGGTATTGATTGGATGCTTTGGTAATAACTTGGTTAATCGAAAAGCGTATTGTCTGATATTTGAATCTAATCAGATTTTGGGAGGTTTTAGATTAGCTTCTACTTCTATTGAAATGATTGGAGCTGTTTTGAATACTTCTAATATCTTATGAAGGGCTAGGTTTTGAAATGATTACATCATATTCTTAAAATGAGTTTAACCTTTTTACCAAATCACTAAATCATAGTCAGCTATATTGATCATACATACTATATATAGCTGTCTGAAGGCTTTAGGGCTAAGGCCCTTTTCGATATTAGCTAATCGGGCCATTCGATAGAAGGCT